GCGTGCGTGGCATGTGTCTGTGTGTTGTTGTTGTGCCGCTGCCGCCGAGTCTAGACGTGGATACAACTTACGTGTCAGCATGCTGCTTAAGACTGCTGGTGCTCATCAACTGATAGCTAACAAGCGCGGTGAGCTGGCACTGCACAAGGCGTGCTGTAACAACCAGGCGTTGATGGTAAGCAGCATGCTGTGCTGTTTGTCCACGTGGTGTATGCATGTGGGCCGGGGTAGGGGCCAATGGCAAATGTGGGCCGCGGTAGGGGTGAATGGCAAATTCTTATAACAGTGGAGATTGGATATAACGACCTTGGGTATAACGACAAATCGAGTTTAGCGACACAATTCTGTTGCCCAAGTCGTTTAGCAAGTCCTTTCTGTACATTATAGATCGGGTATAACGACCTCGAAAACAACGACAGATCGAATTTACTGACACTTTTTTGGTGCCCGAAGACCTGGAAAACAGTGAAAATACATCGGATATAACGACTTTCCTCTTGTATCAGGCAGACTGGCATGTCTGGAACGTGGTCACATGATAATTATGGCCGTGCCACGTGCCCGGACCTCCGGTTCGCTCAATTATGTGTGCTTTACATTGCACGTTGTAGCCGCATGCGCGCAGTGCAGCGGTGCGGGATGACTCTACCTTGAACAAATTCCATGCATGCAAGACACAGGTAGATCTACAATCATGTACATACACATATGTTATGCACGTCATGTACATTGTATATCTAGAATACATTTCTGTCATTTTGATATACATATTGCATACTAAAATGTGAAGATCGGGTTTAGAGGGACAGATCGAATATAGCGACATTTTGCTTTCTCCCGAAGGAGTGTCGTTATATCCAATCTCCACTGTATTTTAATAAACAGATTTTTTTCAAATTTTCAAAACAATTTTTTTTAAAGATTCAAAATTCTCAACACTGCATTCTCAACAATGTCATGTGACATCGATAGCCCAGGCAGATCTACAAAGAATGCTACGTGTAGGATCACTAGTACCAAGAGTACATTACCCCCAGAGTGTGCAACGCCTGATCCAGCTCTGCATAGGGTCTTGGTCGAGCGTAATCGGATCTTTGCGTCATAATACCGTACACATCTGAGGGGATCCCGGGGAGTCGCGGGTACTCTCGGATCAAAAACAACGGTGCCCTGCCTCGAGACCGGCCTTGCGCCGGTGTGGAGTGTACGCATGACATCAGAAGATCCGATTCCGCTCGACCAAGACCCTATGCAGAGCGGGATCAAGCGTTGCACACTCTGGGGGTTATGTACTCTTGGTGGTACACTACAGACAAGTACATGTACCAGTACACTGAGGATGCTAATTGAAAGAAATGGCCGGAGCTACGGTAAACTAGTCCTAGAACTGAGTTACTTTACAAGAACAATGGAAGGGACCACGGACCCCAGCCGGGACCCAATGTACGCGTATACGGCGATTAAAGACAGCACAAATACACACAAACAAGACCCGGTGCTCACCTGAGTAGGCGCACCAAGTTGGGGCCTGGTCGTTCGTAGTAAGTCATACTATTTGCGGATTGGCGACGAGGACAGAAAACACCGGCTGATACTGAGACGAACTCAGGGTCGTGGATCAATGGTGAGCTGGAAAGTTGGGCGCCGAATGTCGTCTAAGACTGCCGACGAACTTCTCCTCAAGCACGACCGCGCCACGCCACGCACCAAAAGACCAAGTTATTTCCCGTTACAGAGAGAGCTTTTCTGTTCTTATCTTCATGAGACAACGAGACAACTGATGGCAACCGGATGAATACAGCGGAGGCAAGACGAGAAAATGCGTATGCGGCGGGGACAAGAAGAGAAAGAGTGCATACGGAGGGGACAGAAGACGGTGCAGCCACATGTACCAAGCCTTCAAAGACAGCGCAGCAGCGTGTACCACGGGTCAGCAGCATGTACGACAAAGAGACACAAACACAGCAGCATGTACGACAAAGAGCTACACGCGCCGCCGCATGTACAACATATGTATCGTTATATCTGTGCTATCATGTTTTCTATCTGCTGTCACGGGCAGAACAGTCTATATCGAGTGGTTGCTGATATAGGTTGGGTTCGTGCATGTGTACATGTGTGTGCGTGCGTGCGCGTGTGTGTGTATGTATGTATGTCTGCTCTACCCACGTTCCACACACACACACACACACACACACACACACACACACACACACACACACACACACACACACACACACACACACACACACACACACACACACACACACACACACACACACACACACACACACACACACACACACACACACACACACACACACACACACACACACACACACACACACACACACACACACACACACACACACACACACACACACACACACACACACACACACACACACACACACACACACACACACACACACACACACACACACACACACACACACACACACACACACACACACACACACACACACACACACACACACACACACACACACACACACACACACACACACACACACACACACACACACACACACACACACACACACACACACACACACACACACACACACACACACACACACACACACACACACACACACACACACACACACACACACACACACACACACACACACACACACACACACACACACACACACACACACACACACACACACACACACACACACACACACACACACACACACACACACACACACACACACACACACACACACACACACACACACACACACACACACACACACACACACACACACACACACACACACACACACACACACGTGCCTTTGTACAGTCTGTGTTCATCTTGATGGAAGGCTTGCAGACGGCGTGTCTGAATCGTCCGTGTGACGGCGGCTGGACCCCGCTGATGTTTGCCTGTAAGAGCAACGCCTTGGACATTGTCAGCTATCTACTGGATGAGTGCAGTGCGGATGTCAACGCTACCCAGGTGAGTCTGGCAGTTGTGCACACATACAGCTAGTGGGTACGCTGCTCTAGTAAATGGAGTATAAACACAACAGTGCTCCCAATTCCCAATGGAATCAAACAAACAGTTGTCTATGCCGTGTGATTCTATACGGTATTTTGAAGAAGAATTTGAACTACTACTATTTTCGGTGCTCTCTCTGTGTCTCTGTATCTCACTCCGTATCTGTCTGTCTCTATATGTGCGTGTGCGTGCGCGTGTGTGTGTGTGTGTGTGTGTGTGTGTGCGTGTGTGTGTGTGTCTCTCTCTCTCTCTCTCTCTCTCTCTCTCTCTCTCTCTCTCTCTCTCTCTCTCTCTCTCTCTCTCTCTCTCTCTCTCTCTCTCTCTCTCTCTCTCTCTCTCTCTCTCTCTCTCTCTCTCCCCTCCCCCCCCCACCCCCACCCAGACTGAAGGCTACACTGCACTGCACATTGCAGTTCAGAGCCGTCACGATGAGATTCGTCGTCAGCTCTGCAAGAAACTCATCGCGCACAAGGCCAATCCCAATGTGCCGGCTGGAAGCAAGAAGCTAACGCCATTACATTTTGTGTGCGCCAAGGGAATCGAAGACATCTGCTTACTGTTTGCCGGTTAGTCCTGAAATAGCAAGAAGTGAAACGCACACACACACACACACACACACACACACACACGCACGCACGCACGCACACGCACACATACACACACACACACACACACACGCACACAAACACACGCTTGCTCGCACCCCACATGCACAAACGCACACACGCACACGAACGCACCCACACACACACACACACACGCACACGCAAGCATAGTACTTTATAACCCATGGTATATAATATACTAGTGTTGAAACGAATAATCGAATAATCGAATAATTTAGAATATTCGTGGGGTGAACGAATAATCGAATAGTCGTAGGAATTATCAGAAATCGAAAAAAAAAAAAAAAAAAAAAAAAAAAAAGATCTACAGTGTTTGCTCAGTGCTGACCCTACTGATATTTGCACTGCGTAGATCTGCTCGCAGTATTTCTTCTCAATCTCTTCTCCTCCAAGTTTTAATCTCCTATCGGTATCTAGTATTACTTCTGTTCTTTCCATACGAGGGAAACATGGATGCAGTGAATGTGATTTTCGGTCTTTGACCACTTTCGACCAAGAGTCAAGACCCTATGCAGAGCTAGATCAGGCGTTGCACACTCTGGGGGGTTATGTACTCTTGGCGGTACAGGTTAACCGGTTTTGCACCTCCACATAACAAAATCCGATAATCAACAAAAAAATTAAAACTACTTAAAAAGTGCGGAAAAAGTGTTGAAAAATGCCATCATGCGTATGATAGAATATAGATTATTCGTTCGATGGAGGGTGAAATTATTCGATAGATTATTCGTTCGAAGAATCCGTGTTCGGTTTAAACACTATAATATACCCAGTGCACTATATACTATACTGAAGTTTCTCACGGTACGTACGTACATCTCTGGTCATGATACACGAACACTATACCGTAAAGTACCGTTATTCCTGCTGCTGCTGTTCCTCCTGCTGCTGCTGCTGCTACTGTTGCTGTTCCTGCTGCTGCTGCTACTGCTGCTGTTGCTGCTACTGCTGCTGTTGATGCTGCTGCTACTGCTGATGCCGCTGCTGCTGCTGCTGCTGCTGTTGTTGAGTTCAGAACATGGTGGTGACTTGCTGCAGCCTGACGCTGAAGGTGATAGTGCTTTATCTATGATACCAGCCGACATACCGCAGTTCAAACTGCGCCTTCAAGGTAAGGGGTGGGTGAAAAGAGAAGGACAGGGGGAGGGGGGGAGAGGACATGATGTATGGTTTTTTGCCATAACATGTGGATGTTTTGCCACGCAGTCATTTTTGTAAGGACCTGCTCCTTACGAAACTGACTGAGTCGCAAACCATCCACAGCTACCTCCAAGTTGGTTTGGACTTGGTTTGCGCTTCGTAGATGTGTTGGAGCTAGGTGTCAGGCCGTCGAATGTCTCAACATCCTTGTCAGTTTTGTGCCTCATTGTCGCACTATCTAACTGTATTTTATCTCGTTACCTTGGTGGACTGTTAAACTAGTAATGTATACCGGTAGGTCCTTTTTCTCTGTACAAAGAGCAATCAGTGACGGGTCATGGACGACCTGGTACTTGGTAGTACAGTGCGGATCGGCTATAGGGTGGTCGGCTATTGTAATATACCTCTTATAGTGATCGTATTCTCAAATTCATTTTCGTAAACCACCCCTTTCTATACATATCGGATCGGCCATAGTAATAATCGGCTATAGTAATATATCGGCTATAATGATACGATTTCGTTGTCAAAATGATCTTATTGCATACATTTTTCATCGGCTATAGTGATTATCATAAAAAAATTATACATCGTACATGGTGAGATCTGATCGCGGCAGCCAGGAAGCGCTGGTACGACTATGATATCCCTCGGAGGAAATAATTCGAAATGTTTGGCGTGGGCTATGCTTGTTGTTCCGGGGCATCCTCGAGCGAGATCGGAGGCAGTAATGAGTACCAGCTCTGAAGCGCTACCGTGGTCTCCGCCGAGATGTTGGAGAAGGCATTCAGGTAACAGCGAAGACGATCAGGGACGCGGAGAAGCTTCTCCGTGAAATACGACATCACGATCGACCTGCTACTTGGAACGGTTTCAGCGGTGATGAGTCGAGCGATGGCGACCCAGACTGAGACTCTACTCCCACTAATCGATCCTGTAGATATTGTTATGTCGATTGAATGTGTTGAAGTGTTTCTCTTCACGAAGTTTTTGTTTCCGCAGGAAGTAGCTCTGCACTGCGCGTATTGCACAGTCATAATCATAATTATGCACAGCACGCGTCTGCACGTTGCACTGATTCGAATGACATCATACACGCATTTGTCAGGCATACCTAAGTATGCATATCGCCTATAGTAATATATCGCCTATAGTGATATTTTCACGAAAATCAAACACCAACGCTATAGCCGATCCGTACTGTATACCCGGTACTGTACTGATCTAGGTATGATGATGACAGCAAGTGAATATGATGCCCCCCCCCCCGAAATAACCCTCGTTAGCCCAAATTTAAAAATTTTCCCCGGGGAGATACCCACCCCCTCCTTTTTCTCGCCTCCTTTTTCTCGCCTCCCTTCAATCGTACCACTTTTTAGCACCGTGTGACGCCCCTAGCATTGGTGTGTGCGTGTGTGTTGCGCGCGCGCGTGTGTGTGTGTGTGTGTGTGTGTGTGTGCACGCGGGTGTGTTCATGTGTATACATGTGCATGGCTTCGCAGGTTGTGTGGATTGGACAGTTATCTGGCGCTAGAGTCTTGATCTGTCTCATTCAGATCTTGTCCGCTATCTTTGCTATAAGAGAACATATCTGGGTGCACATCCAGTGCATTTTCAGATTTGCGCGCTTCTCTTGTGACGGGCGTGTACATGGTACATGGTGTGTGTGCGTGCATGCATGTGTGTTCATGTGTATACATGTGTGTGCGTGTGGGTCAAACATACACACACGCAGAGTTCACCAAGGACTGTCCGGACGAGGAGCTGCTCAAGTCCTGGACCTGCCAGCCGCGCAAAAACAGCCCGGCACAGATCACCATGACTACGGCGCCGCAGGGCGACTGCCAGTACGACTCACTGCCCAGTCACTCGGAACTGGCGTCGTCGTCGTCGATAGGTATTGCTTCTGTTGGTGCTGGTGGTGGAGGTGGCGCTTTGCCTGCGGCGTCACTCTCCTCGGGTGCCGGCGATGGTGGTCAGTCGGTGGACATGCCGCGGCTTCATCTCAGCCAGACGGCCAGACAGGTGAGTGTGATGTTGCTGCTGCTGTTGCTGCTGCTGCTGCTGCTGCTGCTGCTGCTGCTGCTGCTGCTGCTGCTGTTGCTGCTGCTGTTGCTGCTGCTGCTGCTGCTGTTGCTGCTGTTGCTGCTGTTGTTGCTGTTGCTGCTGCTGCTGCTGTTGCTGCTGTTGCTGCTTTTGTAGCTGCTGCTGCTACTGCTGTTGCTGCTGTTGCTGCTGTTGTTGTAGCTGCTGCTGCTGCTGCTACTACTGCTGTTGCTGCTACTGCTGTTGCTGCTGCTGCTGCTGCTGCTGCTGCTGTTGCTGTTGGTGCTGCTGCTGCTGCTGCTGTTGCTGCTGCTGCTGCTGCTGTTGTTGCTGCTGTTGCTACTGCTGCTGCTGCTACTGCTGCTGTTGCTGGTGCTGCTGCTGTCCGTATGCTGCATGTGATGTTGGTTTAATGAATATACCGGTCGGGTGCTCACACAAACACATGTACCATACAGCAAGCCTGGTGAGTGTGCTGCTGCTGCTGTTGTTGTTCGTATGCAAGTGATGTTGGTTTAATGAATATACCGGTAGTACACGGAAAAGTCATCGCGCGATCGTCGCGCGATGACTTTTCCGTACGCGGACTAGTTGAGGTCGAGTCAGCTTTTTCGCGCTGCGACGCGTTTCCCGTACGCGAAATGAAGTATGGATCAGGCTTTGTACAGTACAGTACTGTACTGTTGGTTGCTGAAGAGCTGGGGAATCAGCCTGCTAGCCTAGACCATTCTTATTTTCATGTTTTTACAGTCTATGCACAGCTGAGTCGCCGTGTATACATTGGGGTATGCTGTGCTTGGTGAAATTCTAGCCTGGTTGTTGGAGGTCAGCCTCCTAGCCTAGGCCGTTCTTATGTTCATGTCTATGCACTGTTGAGTCACTGTGTAGACATTGGTATGCTGTACTTGGTGAAATCCTAGCCGGGTTGTTGGCGGTCAGCCTCCTAGCCTAGGCCGTTCTTATTTTCATGTACTACAGTCTATACACAGCTGAGTCGCCGTGTATACATTGGGGTATGCTGTGCTTGGTGAAATTCTAGCCGGGTTGTTGGAGGTCAGCCTCCTAGCCTAGGCCGTTCTTATGTTCATGTATATGCACTGTTAAGTCACTGTGTATTCATTGGTATGCTGTGCTTGGTGAAATCCTAGCCTGTTTGTTCTTCGGCACTCGACAGTACAGTGCACACTCATAGCAGACTCGTGCTTGCTGGACAGTACTGGTACTGGTACGACACACTGCTCTCCTTTTTTTCCCTTTTCTCTCCTTTCCCCTCTCTAATCCCTGTAGGTTGCTAGGCGAATCTTCGGTAACCATGGCGAACATGGCGGCAGCTCCGGCAGCATGCCCTCTAACCCTGAAGACAGCGTTGAAGTGGCTCCGTCGGACTACGACGCCCCGGCGGCAGGAGCGTATACGGGTGCCGCCGACAGTGTGTCCAACCTGCAGCCGCGGCAAATGTCTGATGCGCATGTTTCACTGCCGTCGCTGTCCAGTGCAGGCAGGGTACGTATGATCAAGAAGAGGGCATGAAACCCAGGGTACAGTCAACTTCGCTAATAACGACTGCGGATATAACGACAATTCGCGAATAGCGACATAATGTCCATGCCCAGAGCAAAGTTCCATCCAACTGTAATACATATAATGAGACTTCGGGTATAACGACACTTCGCGAATAAGGACACTTTCTTGATGCCCCGCCGAATGTCGTTATAAACGAAGTTGACTGTATATAACTTCCGTAGAGTGTGCAACTGCCTGCACAGCCTCTATGCTGCAACGGCAGAACTCCACATCACGTGACATAGTTCAAAAGGTCATGCTGGCAAGCAGTGCAAAGTGACCACAAGAGAGTCGAACTCAAAGCAGGGTTGTACGCTTTGACAAAGCAGGGTTGCGTACAACCCTGCATCTATCATGCACAGGGTGCAAATAATGTGTACGGGTTGTGATGTGAAGTTCTGCCGTCGCAGACCCCAGGCCATAGTTGTGTCCACCGATCCACCCCTTCATCCACCGATCCACCGATCCATCCATCCACCCACCCACCCATCCACCCACCCATCCATCCATCCATCTACCCATCCATCCATCTACCCATCCATCCATCTGTCCATCTATCCACCTATCCACCCACCCAACATTCCACCCATCCATCCACTCATCCACCCATTCATCCATCCATCCATCCATCCATCCACTCATCCCCCCATCCATCCACTCATCCACCCATCCTTCCATCCATCCACCCACCCACCCAGCCACTCATCCATCCACCCAGCCACTCATCCATCCCCCCCCCCCCCAAATCCCCTATTGACCTAGCCGCTCATCCATCCACCCATTCATCCCCCCTCCCATCCATCCACTCATCCACCAATCCATCCACTCATCCACCCATCGATCCCCCCTCCCATCCATCCATCCATTCATCCATCCATCCACCCTCCCAGCCAGCCACTCATCCATCCACCCAGCCACTCATCCATCCACCCAGCCACTCATCCATCTCCCCCCACCCCCCATCCCCCATTGACCTAATCACCCCCCACCCCCCACCCCCCCCCCCCCACCCCCCTTCCCCCAATCCCCCCATTGACCTATCCACCCATTACTATCTCTGCATCATCTGGTGTTCACCACAGATGCGTGTGGCTTACACGCGTAGCCACGGTAAGAACAGCAGCGCCGAAGACACTTTTCGCAGCGTGGACTCTTCCCGGACACGCACCATCAAAGGAGACGGTAAGAGCAACTCATGGTAATGTGTATGTACATGTACAAACACGCACATACACAAAGGCAGAGGAGACACAGAGACAAGCTGCTACAGTCCATTCATGAAAACGATGATACCGGTATGGATCAAATTTTGAGTTTTTCACATTTTTTCGGAAATCCCCCATGCAATGCTCTTCCAATGAATGTTTCCGAAGTCTATTCTCCAAAAAGCAAGCCATAGGAAAAATAGGATTTTGGCCAGGTTTAGCCCCCGAATCACTGAACTAGGAAAAAACCCGTGAAAATCCAGGCCGTTCACTCCACTGGCATAACAGTCCATTTGTGTGGACTACTCTAACAAAACACTGAGTTCTGTTGGAAACGGGAATTCCCCACCACAATATAAAACAATCAACATGGAAACAAAAAGAAAAAGACAACTACTAACGATGGCGAAGACGAGAGAGAGCGCGAGCGAGAGAGCGGACATCATGCAGCGAGGTCGCTACAAAGGCCTCTGCCAACGATGGCGAAGACGAGAGAGAGAGAGAGAGAGAGAGAGAGAGAGAGAGAGAGAGAGAGAGAGAGAGAGAGAGAGAGAGAGAGAGAGAGAGAGAGAGAGAGAGAGAGAGAGAGAGAGAGAGAGAGAGAGAGAGAGAGAGAGAGAGAGAGAGCGAGAGAGCGAGAGAGCTGACGTCATGCAGCGAGGTCGCTACAAAGGCCTCAGAAGTACGGTGCTGGCAACTGAAATCCGACCCCCTGGGCGGCGCGGCAGGGGGTCGGATTTCAGTTGCCAGCACTGTAAGAAGCGTCCCGAAAAAGGATACGGGAAAATCCAAGCAGAGCAGTACGGTACGGTGCGGGTGAACCCTGGGTGAATCTGAGAGAAAACGCCACCGTAGGCTATTTTTGGATACGCAGGGCCAACAAGGAAAGTGCAAAACTGTGAGAAGTGCAAGGTGTGATTTAGTGAAAAGTAAGGGATTTCGTAGAAAAACGATGCGGTTTGGGAGCGGGCCGCCACACATTGTGCGGTTCGAACCCCAGTTGAGGTATCTTGTTTGGACCCTTTTTCAAGTTTCAAATCTCGCGGCACTGCACCGTGTACGACAAAATCATGAAAAATCACGAAATACGGGAGCTCGCCAGAGCCAGCGCTCATCTTTTTTTCTGAATGGACTGTCGGTGATTGTTGTAACGCTGCGTTTCCTGCACATAGCGAAAGCTAATGCAATCCTCAGACAACTGTCATGCACATGCACATTGATGCATGTGTGTACGCGCACAGGTGCCCATCAAGAGTGTTTAACCACAGCCGTGTGCCACTCCAGTCTATGGGGTTTGTGAGGGCAACATTTCACATCCTCTGTGCGTGTGTGTGTGTTCATGCGTGTGTGTGTATATGTGTGTGTGTATATGTGTGTGTGTGTATATGTGTGTGTGTGTGTGTGTGTGTGTGTGTGTGTGTGTGTGTGTGTGTGTGTGTGTGTGTGTGTGTGTGTGTATGTGTGTGTATGTGCACAGTTGACGTAGCGGTTGCATCGATAGGCGGTGACTCGTTGCGTCATGTGACGACGGCTGATGATGACACACTGCGGCTACAGCAGCAACAGAACAACGCACTGGGTAGGTTTTTAGCACTATCAGTCTGGAAGTCTGACTACAGTCAACTTTGCGTATAACGACACTCGGCGGGGCATCAGAAAAGTGTCCTTGTATCCGAAGTCTCATTATATGTATGACAGTTAAATGGGACTTTGCTCTGGGCATGGAAATTCTGTCGTTATTCGCGGAATTGTCGCTATATCCGCACTCGTTATTAGCGAAGTTGACTGTACGCCACCACCGCCGCTTAAACTACTGTATAGCAGGAAATTTTCGGACGGAATATATTTTCGTACGATTTCGTACACGGCCTTTTTGTACTAAAATTAATTCCGTACTAAAATTTGTTCATGTGACTTTATGTACACTGTACATGGGTACTGCTTGCGAACACGTGCATTTAGCATGCAGCACTGTACGAAAATAAAATCCGTACGAAAGGTCGAAACTCGGCTTTGAACGAAAATATTTCCGTCCGAAAATGTCCTGCTCTACAGTACCTATTGTAAAGTGCTGGCAACTGAACTCTGACCCTTAGAGAGATGCGCTCACATTGCAAAGACCCAGCATGGGATTGTAGCACTACGAAATAGAGACGGCTAGTCGGTAATCTAATCGGTGCTACACTCGAGCACAAAAAACCAGGGGTCGGATTTCAGTTGCGCCTTTGTGCCTTTTTCCGGATATGATCCCTTCAAACAAATGTGCGGTAATGCGATCTCTGACTGGGGTTGACTTGTGATAGCACGACACGGAACTCAGAGGTTTGGATGTCTTCATAGGTTCATGTTTTCGTGCGCGTGCGTGCGTGTGTGTGCGTGTGTGTGTGATGTGTGCATACATGAGTGCATGTGTGTGCGTGCATGGGCCCGTACGGGCGTTTGTATACGTGTGTGTGTGTGTGTGTGTGTGTGTGTGTGTGTGTGTGTGTGTGTGTGTGTGTGTGTGTGTGTTGTTCATGGGTGCGCATACTGTTTAGGCCGTTATGACACGTCGGACGCTATTCGCAACCTCTTCATGGGAATGCAGGATTTGTCCAAGCAAATCAGAGTACCTGGGTTGGAGGGCAATGGTAAGCCATTCTAACAACGGGAGCTTTGGTGTAATGGGGGGGGGGGGGGGGTGTGATAAACGTATTGGTTTATTCTAATAAATACTTTGTAGTAGTCTCCATCGAGGAGCGAGTGGAAAAGAACAACAAAACAAAGAACAGCACAACGGAATCAGCATGCTCAATGTGTAGTCATGCGTGCATGCCAAATACCAATGCATGACGTAAGCTAACGTAAACTGCGTACAATAAGACAGATGCACGCGGGTGGTTGCATATAGGATAGCGTACATAATAATACAACACGCCCTTCCGAGATCATAATGGGTGAACAAGCCAGACTATGATCTAAACATAATAACTATGAAGATACAAACAAAAAAAACATGAACAAGAGGCAAAGCAACGAGAACAGTCACAGTGTAGCACAGACTACAGAAGAAGAAAAACTAATCAAACATATGACTGTCCTTGGTGTGCAGAAATGTTCAAACGGTCAGGTTGACGGCGATTACGGGTGCTGCGACGGGGTGCAACAACAGGCTCAGTAGGTGCGGGAACAGCAGGTTCAGACGCACTATCAGTAGAAACGCGATCAGGCAGCAATGGGACGTAAGGCCGTAGGAAGCGACGATTTCGCCAAAACACACGACCACTACGTAGCTTGACGTAATAGTCTCGATGGGTACCAATGGCGACAACGATGCCTCGACCTGTCCACCGTTTGGTGCGCGGATCTTGCAGATCTACGTGCATGCCAATAGTGAGCTTAGACAACGTGCGCGGCTGAGACGAATCTGGATCCGGGACAGGTGGAGAATCAGAACTCTCTATACTGGTAGCACGCTGTTTCCACTCCGGGGCAAACGACGAGTGATGCGCCAGCACGAATGATGAGAGCGAACGACCGAATAGCAGCTGGGCAGGACTGGGTCCAGACGGATGTGGGGTATTACGCCATTCCAACAGACCACGCTGGAAGGCATCGGTGTCCAGGTCGCCATTACTAGTGGTTTTCGCAATCAGGTACTTCATGGACTTTACCGCAGACTCGGCATGGCCATTTGATTGCGGGAAGTGCGGGGTTGATGTGATGTGCTTCATCTGCCAACGGTCGCAGAACTCAGTGAAGCGTCGCGACGCATACTGGGGACCACCGTCGGTTGAGATTGCACTGGGAACGCCAACATCTGTAAACCAGCGACGAAGTTGACGAACCACGTCAGAAGATGTGGCTGTGCGGCCTATCTTTGCAACACACGGCCAACCGGTGAGTCGATCGACCAACACAAGGTATTCCCAACCTTGGCAATGGAAGAGGTCAGAGCTGACACTCTCGAACGGCATTGACGGTTGACGGTCACTCTGCAGCGGTTCTCTCGGCAAAGATGGCTGGAACTCACGACAGGGCTGACATGCACGGACAAGGCGGTCAAGCTCAGAGTTCAAACCAGGCCAGTACACTAGTTGACGCGCACGGCGCTTGGTGCGGTCAATTCCTTGGTGTGCAGCGTGTAGATCGTGCAGCACAGATGCACGTAGAGCAGCAGGTACTACGATGCGATTGCCCTTCAGTACGACGGCGGAGTCGACAGATAGGTGTTCGCGTCCATTCCAATAGGGCTGCAGATGCCGTGGAAGGTCGGAACAGGAGCGTGGGAAGCCGGTGAGTACCATCTGCAGGAGATCTTGATACTCAGAGTCCGAGGCGCACGCATCTTGGAGCTTCGCATAGCGTAATGCTGACATCGAACCAGAGTCATCAGCACGGAGGCACGCACGAATAGCAGAACCAGATGGCAGGTCGTCTTCTCCAAGCAGGTCAGATGCTTGTGGGTCGGAGACGGGTGCTCGAGACAGAGCGTCGGCAGCATAATGCAGCTTTCCTTGTCTCCAGGAAGCATGAAATTGGTACGGCCGAAGCTTCAGCAGGAGACGCTGCAAACGAGGATTCTCGACCTGATCCAGGCTATACGTGTTGAAGATCGGAATCAGGGGCTGGTGGTCTACGATGAGGTCGAATCTGCTGCCGGCAAGGTACAGGTGGCACTTGCGCACAGCCCAGACCACAGCAAGACATTCAAGCTCAATCATAGCGTAGCGGCTTTCAGTGTCGGTGATAAAGCGGCTACCACACTGGACGAGGCGCCAGCCAGACGGGTGCAGTTGGAACAGTGCATAGCCGAGACCTTTCGTGCGGGATGCATCTGTTTCCAGACGGGTTTCCAGACCAGGTTGGTAATACGCCAGAATGGGGGGTTCGACCAGAGCATTCTTCACACGGTTGAACGCATCGGTGTGTGGCGTTTCCCACTGGAAAACAGCAGACGTCTTCAGCAGACCACGAAGCGGTGTCGCCAGCTCGGCGATAGCAGGTGTAAACTCAGCAAGCTGATTTACGAGGCCCATGAACGATCGGAGGTCGGTCCGATTCGTCGGGGTGGAGAAGTCGCGGATAGCGGAGAGCTTAGCGTCATCGACAGTCCAACCGTCAGCATTCAGGATGTAGCCGCAGAACTCGATCTCGGTAGCAGCGAACACAAACTTCTTCGCGCTAAGGGTTACGCCGTGCTCGCGCGCACACAACAATACGCGCCGGACGCGTGCCACATGGTCACCAATGTCATCATCATAGACGAGACAGTCGTCGACGACCTTTTTGAAATTGGTGATGTTGTCGAATGCCGTGCTCATACGGCGGTTATACTCGTCTCCGGCCGAGATGAGGCCCTGCGGATTGCGCAAGTACTGATACCGGCCCCATGGAGTGATAAACGTTGTCAATGGCCGCGCTGCTTCGCTGAGTGGCACTTGCCAGTAGCCATGGCGAGCATCGAGCTTCGTAAAGAAGCGACCGCTGACACTGGTGACGACATCACGAGGTGGCTGTGTCGGATGCGTGGGACGTTGGATCTGATCGTTCAGCTTCTTGAAGTCCACCGTTAGACGCTTCTCAGTGGTGCCCTTCTTGTCGACTATAACAATAGGGTGGCACCAGTCGCGGGGTTCAGAGACAGGCTCAATGATGCCATCCTTCACCATGTTGTCAAGCTGTTCCTTAATCTGGTCCCGAAACGCATAGGGCACTGGTCTAGCGTGATGAACACAGGAAGGTGTAGCGTCTGGTTCGAGCTGAATGTCCATTGACGGACCAGACATGGGCTTCAGACTGTCAGAGTCGAACACGTCAGAAAACTCCTCCAGCAGCTCAGTGCGAATCTGGTCGGCGGTGGGCTCAGGTGCTGGCTTGCGCTCAACTCGGCAAACAGAAGGCCAGTTGGGCGGCAGCAATCCGAGCGCACACAGGGATGTCCGGGAGAGCAAGGCATCCGACAGCTCGGAGTACACGTGTATGGTGGTGCGGTGAGTCTTGGAGCCTAGCCCAAGACTGGAACTGATCTGGCCAACGGATACGAGAGGCTGACCGTTCACACCGGTGACAACGTCTGGGTCCTCCGCCAGGTTTTCTGGGAATCCACCCAGAAGGTCAAGATGACGAAGACCAATGGCGTCGACATCACTGCCGGTGTCCGGTATCCAGTTAATGGCTGCACCTGTCTCCTCCGTGTTGAGCGTAGTCGTCACAGACACGGTGCCTTGTTGCCCGGATGATGCTTGCTGGAGCTTCAGCTGGCCGATCTTGGAACCACGTGGCTGCTTGGATTTCTTCGGGCACATTTTTTCAAAATGTCCAGTGGCTTTGCAGCCGTTACAAGTTTTGCCAGCAGCGGGGCAGGCAGACTTGGTATGCGTAGAGCGGCCACACTGGGGACATTTCTTGGGTGATGAATAAGCAGACTGGGGTGCTGCCTTAGAGGTGGCGTCCGGCGCCGGCTTGTCACCAAAGCGTTTCTGACGCTGGTACTGTGACCTACGGGCGGCGGGGGTACGTGCGTACATGCATGTGTGTTGTGGCGGGGTGTGTGTGTGTTTGAAAATGTCTGGTCAATACAGGATTCCACTTGGTACAGGGTCCAGCAAACACACGTTAGCGCTTGCACCCGAATGCATCAGAGCAGGGTATAGGAAATGGAATAGGCAAGTGACTACATGCAATGGAAAGTCACAGAGCAAAGCTGCATGCATACCCACGTATTCTCACAACACCGCACAAGGATAGTTGGGGTACACCAGTGTGCTGGTTTCGATCAACTGGTGAAGTGATTGGCGTTGCAAGCAGCCAATGTGATTGCTCATGAGTGAGCCGCAACAGTACCCGCGACCGGTTGCCAAGGTTCCTGATCGACGTTGCAAACAGCCAACCAGGGTGAAGCAATGGGCGTTGCAAACGACCAAAGCAATCGCTCATGCTTGAACGGCAATAGTACCCGCAGCGGTTGCAGACATGGGTGTACTTGCACGTGCTGAGACTGCAACGCCCAGCGTTGAAGTTGCGGCAGATCGGTTGGCCATTAGACACCGTACGAACTCCATTGAAGGCTTGCTGGTTGTTACGTTGGGGACGAAAGGGACACTGGCCCCGCCTCCGGGATGGACGAGGCGGCATGACTCGCATGTGGACCTTGATCGGCTAGTCACGGACATTTGCCACAGATTGATGTCGATGACATCGAAGCGCTTGCCTGGCTAAGCAGCAATGGCTGAGCGAAACTGGGTGCCGTACGACAGCCAAGCCTCCGGATAGTATTGCCTGTTGGCAGCAACAATGGTGGCTTGGTACACGAGCATCTCCTGCAGACGGAGCGGGTTGGCAGAATATACAACGTTCATAAAGAGAGTCCATGCCTCCAGCCATGTCGGCAAGTCGTGAACGCGTCAACGAACGGGGTGGGCAGCGCCACCTTCTACCACCTCCAGAGACTTGCCGCCACTGCGGAACTGCAGCTGATGCTGGCGTGGAACAGAATACGAGGTTGCGATGGTATCGGGCAGCAGCTGGGTGAAGTCTACAAAGTCGCCCTTCAATATTTTCTCTCATAAAGTCTGGGGAACGGAGAGCTTACCAGCGTTGGAAGACTCCGCCGAAGGTTGAGTTCCAGATCCAGGGGCAGTGATGGTGGCCAGCATTGGAGCGATCGCCCCCAGCAAGGCAACGGTGATGGCGGAGTGTACTTCCTGGCGCACAAACTGGCGCTAATCGTCATTCCTACTCCGGTCTGGGACCAGGGGACTCGGAGAAGCTGCTGCAACACTCTCCAGATCCTGCTCTTGTTCCTGCTATTGTGCCCGCTGCAAGGATGCCGTGGCCGACTGGGCGTGAGGTTACCGTGCCGCCGAGCTTGACGTGTCTTCGATACTGAACAGCAAACGGGCAAGTAACTGGGGCTTTTTTCCACTCGAATTCAGCCCACAGCCTTCCAGCTCGGCCCGCAAGTTCGACACGTTTATATGACATACTTGAGAGGTAGTCAACATGTTTGTCGTGTAGTAAATGACTGCGAGGAAACTACAAGGAGACTGAATAAATAATTCCATTCTCCAAGCAAATAAATTCCAGTGACTGCTCAGTGACACTGCAAAGGAAAGCGCAAGCCAAAAAAGTCAGCGCAGCAAGAGCTACCCAAGGCGATTTGGGGCACGCATGCGCAGCAGTTGAGTGCACGTGTAAAGCCAGCTCAGTCGCAGCTAGCATGAAATAGAGAGCAGCACATCGGTCTTATCGCAAACTACTAACTAGGGTTAGCCCAAAAGCTAACCCAACTTTTTTTACTTTAGGGACTATCCGGCATTAGGACCCTCCCCGCCCACCCACCCCCTGAACGAAAAATAGATTGACTTGACCGCAAGAACGCCTTGATATCTCACATATCAATATTTTTTTAAACGAAACTCCCCTTGACCCACCTACCCATGAACGAAACTCTTTCTCTTTGTGTAAAAGATTAATAATTATGGACGGTCCCTTAACATGATGTATATCAAGCAAACAAAGCTCTCTCTTTGTGCTTACATGTATGTGTGTATATTTGTGTGTGTGTGCGTGCGTGCGTGCGTGCGTGTGTGCACGTGCGTGTGTGTGCATGGTTGTATGTGTTTGCAACTCGGATCATCAGATGACAGCCTTGATGCAATAGCCTCAACAACGGGTTTGACGCAAATACCGCTCTGTGAACTGCATGTAAGTTCTTTCAAATCTTTATTCTCACGATGGCCTGTGGCCAATAAGAGATGTTGTTGTCGCTGCTGCTCCTATTGTTGCTGCTGCTGCTGCTGTTAGTGGTGGTGGTGCTGCTGCTGCTGCTGCTGCTGCTGTTGCTACTTGTGCTGCTGCTGGTGTGGCTGTTGAGGCTGGTGCTGGGGCTAGTTCTGGTTCTGGTTCTGGTTCTGCAGATGATATGTGTTGTTGTCCAGGGTCTACGAACTCAGACCCTTGCAAATTCACAACGCATTCTCCAAGTGTCACATTGTGTCGGTGTTTTGAAGCTAGGTAGATTTCTCACTGCTGGATAAGACAGCTGCGCACGAGTGTTACATTTATAGATATCGTGAATCACCGAAGACATGTGTGTGTGTACATGTGTGTGTTCTTGCGTATGTGTGCATGTGTGTGTGTGTGTGCATGTGTATGTGTGTGTATGTGTGTACATGTGTGCGCATGTGTGTGTGCGAATATGTGTTGTGTGAACATGTGTACGCATGTGTTATGCATATTGTGCGTGTACGTATGTGTGTGCATGCTTGTGTGTAACTCTCCATACCTATAGAAAGAATCAGATCTGGGCTCAGGGAGTTACTCTGACGTCTATCGCAGTACGTACCTCGGTAAACCTGTTGCTGTCAAGCTCTTCCGCAATATGACCGGGGATGAGGTCATGAGAATATTTCAACAGGAGGTCATCATGCTTAGGTGAGGGAGAGAGAGAGAGAGAGAGAGAGAGAGAGAGAGAGAGAGAGAGAGAGAGAGAGAGAGAGAGAGAGAGAGAGAGAGAGAGAGAGAGAGTGAGTGAGTGAGTGAGTGAGTGAGTGAGTGAGTGAGAGAGAGAGAGAGAGTGTGTGTGTGTGTGTGTGAGAGTGTGAGAGAGAGAGAGAGAGAGAGTGAGAGAGAGAGAGAGAATGTGTTGTTAACTCTGTTGTGTAACATACACACAGCAATTATTCACCACTACATTTACTCTGCACACATTCTCGGGAGGCTGCCAGAACCAGAGGCACTTGAAATGCACAGAACTGGGGCTTTCTTGTCGGCTTTTGACACCCCGGCAGCAGATTTGCCGGCGGAAGCCTCCATCCAGGCTTTGCACTCTGGGCACGCAACCTTGACATGGCCAGGCTTGTCACAGAAGAAGCACGTTCGTTCCCCATCGCCATGCCGATCACGTTGCCTCTTTCGACGAGGACAGTTCCGCTGAATATGTTGTCTGAGCCCCCGCGACCAGTCAGACAGAGCAACGAATTGTTCGGGTTGATACGGTTTACTTGGCCTCAAACGACGAATAAGGGGACAAAGGAAAGGAGCAGGGCTCAGGAGGACAACGGAAACGATGAGAGTAACAAAAGGGCAGAAAACCACGAGAGAGAGAATAAAACGGACCCAACACGAGGAGCTGCGACGACTACAGAAAACGGAAGACCAGGAAAACGGCGCAGGGCCACGAGTTATAACCCAAACGGACCCAGGCACGAACCCAGGCACGGACACGTAATCTTAGCAGTAACCAGGCAAAAAGCGTGCAGACAGCATGCAATCAGCGTGTGAACAGCGTGCAGCTAAACTACGTACAACAAATATGTCCAGACGTGTGGCGCTGGTGGCAAAATACACTGCGGGACGCACCTCCAGCACCTCCAGTTGCCGCACTGGCGACCACTATGGGACTGTGAACACAATCAGCATGCGTAGCCTGTAGAGCACGCACCTGCTCTACACACTCAGACACTTTCAATTTCTTCCCAGCAGTGGCCATACACAAGGGCTGGACAAATTCTACTGGTAACCCACTGATGAACTGTTCTATGACCACAGTATGCTCATCACCAGTCGCGCTGTCACCAGACAGGCCCAGCAACCGCTGTAGATCCGCGACGTACACGTCTACCGACTCGTCGGGTTTCAGCTTACGCTGTACAAACAAGCTGTACGCCTGCGACTTTGTCACGGCGAACGCAGATGATAGCTTGCCGAACACAACATCCGGATCTGCCTTGTCGGTGTCCGACAACCATTCGTACACCAGAAACGCGCCGCCGTCCAGAAACAGGGAAAATATATACTTCATCGTGTGTTCCTCATAGTATTTGCAAGTCGTCCTCAACCGTTAAATCAACCAGCGGTGTTACCGCGTTGCGAGTGTCCATCTTCTTGTAGCGCTTGCCCTCCTGGCCAGTGATTACGTAGACCATTGTTGCTGGGTTTCTGAACGTCCGGGCCCTCGAATATAGAAAAGCAGAGGCAGAGCATTGCAGTAGTAATATTGTTAGCCTTAGGTAACTTCATGGCGAAAAACTCAAAATAAGGGTAAGGTACTTCATCTTGTCATCGTCCGACGTCCACTTTTGAGATTTTGGCCAACACACCAAATTTTGACCGGAAGGCATGGAAATCGTCCCCCTTGCCCTTGGAGGGCGAAGGAAATTGTCCAGCTTGAGACTCATACTGGACACACTACGAATTACGATACTAAACGCTAGTGTTGGGTCGAAGAAGGACAACTGACGACATCTTCTCCAGACATTACAACGGACAACGGGAACAAGTTATTGGGAACGACATTTATTATAGACGACAAGACAAGAGACCAACACGAGGGGTATTGTTGGTAACGTCAGTCGGTGTGGAGGGAGAACGTCGGCGTTGTAGTAGTGGTATCGAGTAGGGCGTATCGGTCGTGGTCGTGGTTGCGGGCGTGGTCGTAGTTGTTGGAGGTTGTGTGTATTGCGTCGTCGCAGTGGTTGATACGTTCGGATGGTGAGTCGTCGGATTGCCGTGATAAGTTCCTCCGCCGAGGGAGGGCGTGGCACCAAGTCGGGGGAGACACCTAACACTAGTATAACAGCTTGCCGGAACAAGCACGGGCACCGACCATGGGCACAAACGCACCAACACAGGTGAACACTACGACACAAACAATCCAACGATCCTCGAATCCAAGGCGGGGTTCGGCCGGGGTGTCGATCGGCAGACTGTGGGCCGCTTCCACACATTCTTTCTTGATTTCTACCGGTCGACCAGCCGCTACAGTTTGCATTTCCTGTTCATTCACATCCACCATCATGGACTTGAGTTGGGCCAAACGTTACAGTACCTTGCCTCCTCCATAAACCAAAAAAAACAAAAACAAAAATTCTCATAATCTTCCAAGGCAATTTTTTTGCTTTTTTGCCGTCTTTGTCTACGGGATTCCACTCGTACACCGCTACCCCATACCGTTCAACGAGGCTACTTAATTTGTCCACATATTCTTTGTCTTTGAATTCAGTGAGGAATGCTCTCAGCTTACAGTATGTTGATGACTCTGCTGTAGCGTAGGACTCACTGTCGCTGCCATTGCCGTCGTGATTGTTTGCATGGGCACTTGTCAGCCGCACTGCGTCGCACTGGCGTGTTTCATCCCCGAACGCACCGATGTGCACAGCAAGCGCCCTATCGAGGGCCTTAACCGACGCCACAGCAGGTGTCATGATGGCAGTGTCTAGGGTCGGGTTTCGGTACCAATTTTATGTGTTAAAACTACGTGCCAGCGTACTGTGTGCAAAATATGAAACCAAAAATAGATTATGCTGCATGCAAAAGCCAGCCAGTTTGGGAAGTGCATAGTAGCGATCCCGCGATCGCGCATCGACGCTAAGATGGCGGCTGCACTGGAGCGCGGCCAGTGCGTGCATGCAAAAAAGGGAAATGAATAAATCATGAAAATGCAGTTCGAATAAATCGACCGTTCGATCGAAGAGATCAAATAATTGCAGACGTGAAATTCATTTGAGAACAAGCATATAGAGCGAAGCTAGTCATGTGTCAAGCTACCTTACTACAAATACTTACTATAGCTATAACTTAGCTATGGGCAGCGGACCTGGACCCTATCGCTCCTGGGATATGACCTTAGGTAAGAGTGCGACGTAAAGACAAATTGTAAATACAGCAAATTCAAATTGCACTCGTAACATGTATTCAAATATAGACAGTCCGGCATTCGCACATATTGCGACAACTACTGTAAATATACAAATTTTCGGCAGCTATTTAATTTCGGCTATATTCGGCACCGACCCAAAACGCCTAAATTAAAACGCCGATGAAATTTTTCACAGCATCTGTCGCACTATACTATGCCCTCTACCCCACGCCGAAAATAAATCGCCGCCGAAATGTCAAAAATCGTGAAGTGCCGAAATTTTGCAGCGCCGAAATTTTGTATATTTACAGTACTCTATTGTGCAACGTACGCACAACAATTATTCACCACTACATGTACTCCGCACACAGCACTCACAACGGCGGACTCTGACAGTAATGTAAATAAAAGGACTGATACTTGGAAATGAATTAGTTAGGTAAGGATATAGAGAAAACAACAACCGAACTCAATCTTGGGAGAGCTAATCAACAAGGGAAGAAAGCCGGAACTCTCAACGGAACCGGCGGGGCCGGGGAAAGGCGACGTGGAGAAGCCCAGCTGACATGTGCGAGTACGCACGCGGCGCGGTCAATGGGACTTCGGCCAGCAAGCGTGGGGACGCTAACCTGTGCAGCAAGCGCAGCATGCAAATAAGGCAGAAGGCAAAAGCAGTGCGCATGCTCGAAATAATGACGCGTAGCTGATAGGACATGACGTCAACACAACTCGTGAAAATGCCTACTCAAAAATGTGTTCAAAAATTAACAGGAAGCTACGATGCAGGAAACGATCTCTGCGATCTGGCAGATGATGAAACGATTTGAAACTAGACGAATTGACAGTCAGTGAGTCAGAGAAAAGGAAACATGATATTAGCAAGAGAAGAAAGGAACAAAGCAGGTGCGGAGAATGCAGAGTATGGATAGAAGAACAGAACGGAAAGCAAAGTCTCAAAACGAAGTGTGTGTGCGTGTGCGTGCGTGTGTATGTGTATGTGTATGTGTGTGTGTGCGTGTGTGGACGCATGCGTGCGTGCGTACCAGTTTCAAAAATGACAAGTCTGTAATAATGTGTATTAAAGCACCAAAGGATGAGTCCTGTAGTGCTATGTAGTGCTATGTAGTGCTATGTAGTGCTATGTAGTGCTATGTAGTGCTATGTAGTGCTATGTAGTGCTATGTAGTGCTATGTAGTGCTATGTAGTGCTATGTAGTGCTATGTAGTGCTATGTAGTGCTATGTAGTGCTATGCAGTGCTATGTAGTGCTATGTAGTGCTATGTAGTGCTATGTAGTGCTATGTAGTGCTATGCAGTGCTATGCAGTGCTATGCAGTGCTATGTAGTGCTATGTAGTGCTATGTAGTGCTATGTAGTGCTATGTAGTGCTATGTAGTGCTATGTAGTGCTATGTAGTGCTATGTAGTGCTATGTAGTGCTATGTAGTGCTATGTAGTGCTATGTAGTGCTATGTAGTGCTATGTAGTGCTATGTAGTGCTATGTAGTGCTATGTAGTGCTATGTAGTGCTATGTAGTGCTATGTAGTGCTATGTAGTGCTATGTAGTGCTATGTAGTGCTATGTAGTGCTATGTAGTGCTATGTAGTGCTATGTAGTGCTATGTAGTGCTATGTAGTGCTATGTAGTGCTATGTAGTGTGCTATGTAGTGCTATGTAGTGCTGTGTAGTGCTGTGTAGTGCTATGTAGTGCTATGTAGTGCTGTGTAGTGCTATGTAGTGCTATGTAGTGCTGTGTAGTGCTATGTAGTGCTATGTAGTGCTGTGTAGTGCTATGTAGTGCTGTGTAGTGCTATGTAGTGCTGTGTAGTGCTATGTAGTGCTATGTAGTGCTGTGTAGTGCTATGTAGTGCTATGTAGTGCTATGTAGTGCTATGTAGTGCTATGTAGTGCTGTGTAGTGCTATGTAGTGCTATGTAGTGCTGTGTAGTGCTATGTAGTGCTATGTAGTGCTGTGTAGTGCTATGTAGTGCTATGTAGTGCTGTGTAGTGCTATGTAGTGCTATGTAGTGCTGTGTAGTGCTATGTAGTGCTATGTAGTAAATACATGTACAGTCAACTTTGCGTGTAACCACACTCGGCCGGCCATCAGAAAAGTGTCCTTATTCGCGAAGTGTCCTTATGCCCGAAGTCTCATTATATGCATACAGGTAGAATGGACTTTGCTCTGGGCATGGAAACTCTGTCGTTATTCGCGAATTGTCTTTATTTCCGCAGTAGTTATTAGCGAAGTTGACTGTACTGCTCTTGTCACATTCTGCTTATGTGATTATCGCACGTGTGGGTACACATACATGTAATACAAGGCACTACTGTGCATGGCTGTGCTGTAGTTTGATCTTGTGTGTGTGTGTGTGTGTGTGTGTGTGTGTGTGTGTGTGTGTGTGTGTGTGTGTGTGTGTGTGTGTGTGTGTGTGTGTGTGTGTGTGTGTGTGTGTGTGTGTGTGTGTGTGTGTGTGTGTGTGTGTGTGTGTGTGTGTGTGTGTGTGTGTGTGTGTGTGTGTGTGTGTGTGTGTGTGTGTGTGTGTGTGTGTGTGTGTGTGTGTGTGTGTGTGTGTGTGTGTGTGTGTGTGTGTGTGTGTGTGTGTGTGTGTGTGTGTGTGTGTGTGTGTGTGTGTGTGTGTGTGTGTGTGTGTGTGTGTGTGTGTGTGTGTGTGTGTGTGTGTGTGTGTGTGTGTGTGTGTGTGTGTGTGTGTGTGTGTGTGTGTGTGTGTGTGTGTGTGTGTGTGTGTGTGTGTGTGTGTGTGTGTGTGTGTGTGTGTGTGTGTGTGTGTGTGTGTGTGTGTGTGTGTGTGTGTGTGTGTGTGTGTGTGTGTGTGTGTGTGTGTGTGTGTGTGTGTGTGTGTGTGTGTGTGTGTGTGTGTGTGTGTGTGTGTGTGTGTGTGTGTGTGTGTGTGTGTGTGTGTGTGTGTGTGTGTGTGTGTGTGTGTGTGTGTGTGTGTGTGTGTGTGTGTGTGTGTGTGTGTGTGTGTGTGTGTGTGTGTGTGTGTGTGCGTGTGTGTGTTTGTATGCATGCGTGTTCGCGCGCATGCATGTGTGCGTGCGTGTGTGCATGCGTGCGTGTGTGCGCGCTGCCCGTTGCTGCTGTGATTGGCACACAGTAAAATGCGTCATCCCAACGTACTGACGATCATCGGGTACTGCCAGGATATTGATGGCCATGCTATCGTCACTGATTTGCTGGAACGTGGATCATTGCAAGATGTACTGCACGATGCCACACTTGATCTTTCCTGGAAACGGCGTATTGAAATGGTATGTGACAGTCTGAGTGCCGTCTGTATGTATCTGCATGGCTGTGCTGCTGCTGTTGCTGCTGTTGCTGCTGCTGCTGCTATTTCGAATGCAAACCAAAGAAAAGTTCAAATCAAAACTTCAAATATCGATGAACTCGATCAATGAACTCAAAGAAGAAAAAGGAAAAGGACAAAATGTTACGAGTTATGACTAACTGTCCACCAACGTAACCAGATCTTATGCAGTCAGCGAGTGCGACAAAATGGCACAAACTGACAAGGAGTACTGAGACCTTCGAGTTGATCAAAGAAGAAAAACTAAAAATTAAAAACACCAAAAAAACCTGTACTGTTCTGTGCTGTGCTGCTGTACTGTGTACTGTTTCACTGATGGTTCTTTACAATCTGTATCACACTGTGTGAGTTCACCAGTAAAGGTCTTAGTATAACTGTACCATGCCATGCTGTACTGTGTTCTGTTGGGTACATTTGTACTGCAGTTACAACATGCATCCCTAGGTATGCAGTACCTGCACAAGTGTCAGCTGCTGCATCGTGATCTCAAGTCCGGTAACCTGCTCGTCGGCGCAAACTTCAACGTGCAAGTGGCAGATTTTGTAAGTACTGCATTATACTCACTAAGAAAAGTTGTGGATATCACGCAACTGCGTTACGAAAGAAAAGTGGGTTTGTCAACTGACAACTGCTCTATTCAGTTCCTATTCTCAATAGCACAATTCACAATACTGTAAAAGCAGAGCAGGTGTTTTATTTTCGGTAACTTCGGTGCCGGCAATTTTTACCTAAAATAAAACCCACCGAAAATATACGCACTGCAGCACGGAGAACTGGTTTACTGAAATTTTCACGCTACCGAACCGTCGATTTTGGGAAATACCGAAAATATTACACCACCAAAATTTCCCGGTATTGTGAATAGCAGCTGAATAGAGCGGTTGTCAGTTGACAACCCCCCCCCCCCTTCTTTAGTACATATACTGCAGCTGCAATACACAGGTGTGGAACAATACACAAAGACTGCACGAACGGACAACCCAGTCCCATGTTCTTTCAGTATCTCGTGGCGCTCTCTTCCTCATATGACTGGCCGCGTGGCCCAACGGATAAGGCGCCTGACTACGAATCAGGAGATTCCAGGTTCGAATCCTGGCGTGGTCGTATTTTTTAATTTTTTATTTGCAATTTTCTCTCTACCGCTCGCTGCCTTGCTGGTGGACATGGAAGGAGTACAAGTACTAATCTTTGCGCTGTTTTTTTGTTTGCGAGTTGCGAGCACCGACACATTTGCACCTGAATATGTTCGCGATCGACTGTAGTCAAGTTCCTCAGTTTCTTAACTACAGTTCTACATTTGCGCCGGCGTACATTTGCGATTTCACACCCATCGCGAAAACCACGAAAGATTCTGGACCGCCTAGGTTTCCGGGTTTACGATACATACTACATAATGTCTGCAAAGGATGCATGCACATTTTCTTCGGTTTCGAGAACGTTCATGGGACTTATTTGTACTAGCGACAACAAGCAGACATACGTGTGCAAACCTGCCATCGTTTTCTTTGAACAGCTTGACGAATTCGACGAATTTGTCCAGAACGAGACTGTAGTGTGTGTGTGTGTGTGTGAGTTGCACACTGTGGGTAGGGCTGGTTGAATGGGCGCGCCGTGTAAAGCTTTCCAGCAAGCCTGGCTGCACTCGGGCGAGCATTCGACTCGAGTGCCCTTCACCGTATCTTACACCAGCACCCTACCCTGTAGGTACGTGCAGTGCTGTCGAGTGCTGCAGAACAAAAATGCTAGGATCACACCGATTACACTGTACTGGTGTGTACGCGCTCACTCGCCTACTTCGAAGTGCACGTACACTGGACTCATACTCTCTGTAGAAAACAATTTTACTCAACCTGCGGACAGAACTGTTTCGTCCTTTGTGGACTCATCAACGCAGCACAGAGGAAATAAGGCCGAACCTGCATTATTTTTTTACAGAGAAAGTTTAAGATATCTGATCTTACAGCGTATGTGACTGGCCGCGTGGCCCAACGGATAAGGCGCCTGACTACGAATCAGGAGATTCCAGGTTCGAATCCTGGCGTGGTCGCATTTTTCCCTTTTTTTTCCTACCGTCGTTGTCTTGTCGGTGACCCACAAGCCCACACACAACTTGCGCACATTTCGCATGCACGCTGGTATTTTTTGGCGTGTTTGTATGGTCAGCGAACAGCACGCGTGCAAGCAAACCTATCGGGCGCCGAAGAACGACCAGGCTAGAATTTCACCAAGCACAGCATACCAATGTATACACGGTGACTCAACCACGCATAGACTGTAGTACACGAAAATAAAAACGGTCTAGGCTAGGAGGCTAAGTCTCACAACCACTGGCGCAAGTGCCGAGAAACCCCCACTAGCCGTATCCATGTACCCCTTGAGCCTGGCCATAAGCTTCCAGTTGACTGTGGGTAGCTGTACTCTCCGTAAAATATAGAATATACACTTTTTTGTCTCCGTCCCGGGGGTTGGGGGGGGGGGGGGGGCTCATGCCGGGTGCTACCACCTGGAATATCCCAGCGGCAGATCGATGCGCAGTGCGTAGCGGTGGCAGGCCCACCGGAGCCGGTCCGCTTGGTCAGGTTTTCGCCGAAACAATCACCTGTTGGCCACCGGCATGTGTTTAATGCTGAGGAGGTCATGCTTACCCACCATGTCATGCACTTAATGATTAAAGTGTATGGTATGACTGACCCTCTCCAAACGGTCTCTGGGCTACAACAATCAGTAGTAGTATTGACATCTCCGCGGCAAGCCGCTTATGTACAACAGCATGGGAGAGGATAACAAAAATAAAAATATATTGTTTGGGAAATCCTGATCGAATATTCAACAGTGACGGGTGTGGGGTTATACCAAATTCCCATGATGTGAAGGTACAATTATTGTTGAAAGCACTAGGTGATCTGCACTCTACAATGTGACCTGTGCGATTATATCGTTAAATGATTGCTACAACAATCACTAAAAGAAAAAAAGAGAAAATCATTCTGTGAAGATGTGTGGGTATAGTGGATAGCTACAGTGGAGTCTTCGCATTTTGAGAAATGTGATATGACCGGAGCAATTAAAAAAATGGCTTCCAGCGGTCCTGAATAGGGTGATGATCTCTACTAGAGTCCTGACATTGGTTGCCGAAGAACTGGGCGGTCAGCCTCCTACAGTCCATTTCAAAACTATAGACGCGTACCTAGGCAAAAACCGTTATGCCAGCATCTATACTACATAAAATCTGTGATCACTTTGTGCATAAATTTTTCCAAATTGGGCGTCTGTTATCCAATCGTTTAGAAACTATATGAGAGTAATTGTGGAGCGATCCTGAGCAATATTCCGAAAACTATTCTCAAAAAGTTACAGCCAAATTTGAAATATTTCAAAAACCCTACGCGTCTATAGTTTTGAAATGCACTGTAGCCTAGACCGTTCTTATGCACAGTTGAGTCACTGTGTAAAGCATACCATGGTATACATTAGTATGCTGTCGTTGCTGTGCTTGGTGAAATTCTAGCCCGTTCGTTCTCCGGCGCCCGGCAGTACTGTAGTACAGTCAGACCTCGCTTAACCGCACACGTCCGTTTTCCACAAAAAAATATCCGGATAGGCGAGGGAACCGGATAATCGAACACACAATACTTTTTGTATGCATGACATATGCTGTAAATTGGTGACGAATGATTTTCTTCCGGATGGCAAGGGATCCGGATAAAAAAAGAGGACCGGATAAGCGAGGTCTGGCTGTACATGAAAAGGAAGAGCAGACCAGGCAGCGGCACTGACCTCCATTGGATTTCAATGTCCGCCACGACTGGGAAAAAAAACAAGGAAACAAACAAACCACCCTGTAAGTAGGCACTGTAACCGCCGGGAAACCGTTGCTATCTGGAAACACTCGCAAGTTTCGTGATGAGTGTGTGAAATCACAATCGATTGCAGCATCGCACTCTCTTGCTGATGTGACTGGCCGCGTGGCCCAACGGATAAGGCGCCTGACTACGAATCAGGAGATTCCAGGTTCGAATCCTGGCGTGGTCGCATTTTTCCCCTTTTTTTGCAATATTCTTTCGGTGACTTGCCACTTCTCGCCACCGTTTCAGCGCGATGCATTTCAGCGCCAGCGCTTCAGCACATGATTTCACAGCGCTAGCTTCTTCAGCGCCGTATCAGTGCGGTAAAGTGCAGCGCCAGCAACTCAGCGCGAAAAAGTAAGGTGCCGTAATTCACGGCGCGATCAAATACGGCGCGATCAAATACGGCGCGATAAAGTATAGCGCGATAAAGTACGGCGCATTTTTCCCCTTTTTTGCAATATTCTTTCGGTGACTTGACACTTCTCGCCACCGTTTCAGCGCGATGCATTTCAGCGCCAGCGCTTCAGCACATGATTTCACAGCGCTAGCTTCTTCAGCGCCGTATCAGTGCGGTAAAGTGCAGCGCCAGCAACTCAGCGCGAAAAAGTAAGGTGCCGTAATTCACGGCGCGATCAAATACAGTGCGATAAAGTATAGCGCGATAAAGTACGGCGCATTTTTCCCCTTTTTTGCAATATTCTTTCGGTGACTTGTCACTTCTCGCCACCGTTTCAGCGCGATGCATTTCAGCGCCAGCGCTTCAGCACATGATTTCACAGCGCTAGCTTCTTCAGCGCCGTATCAGTGCGGTAAAGTGCAGCGCCAGCAACTCAGCGCGAAAAAGTAAGGTGCGGTAATTCACGGCGCGATCAAATACAGCGCGATAAAGTATAGCGCGATAAAGTACGGCGCGATACAGTAGAGCGCGAAGTCAATACTTGTAGTAATATGCATAACAGTCATAGTCACAGCAGGCCATGTTCGTACATACATTGCATAATAAAACGGCGCTGAGAAACATGGCGCTTAGATCTGTCGCGCTGAGAAAGGTCGCGCTGACGTATTTGCGCTGAAATATCTGGCGCTGATTTGTGTGGCGCTGAGATATTCGACGCTTATCTGCAGGCCCTGAAGTATGCGGCGCTGAAATATGTGGCGCTGTAAAATTCGGCGCTTAGGTTCACGACGCCGAAACGATCGCGCTCACCTGGTTGGCGCTGAACTCGAGGGCGCTGAAATGGCATGGACTCATTCTTTCGATCGTTGTCTTGCCAGTGAACAAAAAGAACACAAGTCATGATAATTTGAACCCTAAAATACAAGGAAAAACTTCTTATTATCCGGACATTCTAGTTATCGGTATCCAAACATGTACCCACAACACTTTATGTGTTTCAAAATGCTCGTCTTGCCACCCGCGGTTGCGCTATGGACCTTAGACACAGATGTCGCTGACGCTGTTCTTTCTGTATCTCGTGGCGCTCGCTTGGTGATGTGACTGGCCGCGTGGCCCAACGGATAAGGCGCCTGACTACGAATCAGGAGATTCCAGGTTCGAATCCTGGCGTGGTCGCATTTTCCCCTTTTTTTGCAATATTCTTTCGGTGACTTGCCACTTCAGCGCCACCGTTTCAGCGCGATACATTTCAGCGCCAGCACTTCAGCGCATGATTTCACAGCGCCATGACTATCAGCGCGGTAAAGTACAGCGCCAGCAACTTGGTGCGAAAAAGTAAGGCGCGGTAATTTACGGCGCGAAGATGTTCAGTGTGATCAAGTACAGCGCGGTGCAGTTGCGTGATAAAGTATGGCGCGATACAGTAGAGTGCGATACAGTACAGCGTGACACAGTAGAGTGCGATACAGTAGAGTGCGATACAGTACAGCATGATACAGTACAGCATGATACAGTACAGCATGATACAGTAGAGCATGATACAGTAGAGCGTGATACAGTAGAGCGTGATACAGTAGAGTGCGAAGTCAATACTTGTAGTAATATACAGTCATAGTCACAACAGGCCATGTTCATACAGTAAAACCTGTCAAGGCGACCACTCGGATAAGGTGACCACCTGTCCTAGAAGACCACTGAAACCAGGACTAAGAGATGCTATTTCCAGTCAATTGGCCCTGGATAAGGAGACCACCTGATGACAGAGATCACGTTTTGAAGGTCCCTTGAGCGGTCGTCTTAGACAGGTTTCACTGTATATACATTGTATAATAATTTGGCGCTGAGAAACATGGCGCTTAGATCTGTGGTGCTAAGAAACTAGGCGCTTAGATCTGTCGCACTGAGAAAGGTCGCGCTGACGTATTTGGCGCTGAAATATCTGGCGCTGATTTGTGTGGAGCTGAGATATTCGACGCTTATCTGCAGGCCCTAAAGTATACGGCGCTGACATGTGTGGCGCTGTAAAATTCGGCGCTTAATAGGTTCACGGCGCCGAAACGGTCGCGCTCACCTCGTTGGCGCTGAACTCGAGGGCGCTGAAATGGCATGGAATCATTCTTTCTATCGTTGTCTTGCCAGTGAACAAAAAAAGCACAAGTCATGATAATTTGAACCCTAAAATACAAGGAAAAACTTCTAATTATCCGGACATTCTAGTTATCCAAACATGTACCCACAACACTTAATGTGTTTCAAAATGCTCGCCTTGTCACCCGCGGTTGCGCTATGAACCTTAGACACAGATGTCGCGGACGCTGTTCTTTCTGTATGTCGTGGCGCTCTCTTGGTGATGTGACTGGCCGCGTGGCCCAACGGATAAGGCGCCTGACTACGAATCAGGAGATTCCAGGTTCGAATCCTGGCGTGGTCGTATTTTACTCTTTTTTTTTCTTCTTTTTGGCGTATGGTCACTGTAATTACTAATTCTATTATGCTGGCTGTACTTTGTCATACCTGTGTACCTGTGTAGTGATGTCATTGTGTTTACTTCTGTTTGTTTGTTTACCTGTTAATTCAGGGCATGACGAAGGTGCGACAACACACCGTAACTATGACAACTAACTTCAGAGGCACGCCAGCGGTAAGACTGAGAAGTGGTGCTGGTGGTGCTGTTGATGCTGCTGCTGCTTCTGCTGCTTCTGCTGCTGCTGCTTCTGCTGCTGCTGCTGCTGCTGCTGCTGCTGCTGCTGCTGCTGCTGCTGCTGCTGCTGCTGCTGGTGGTGGTGGTAGTGCTGCTGGTGGTGCGAGAGATGATTAATTGGCTGCAACGAAGCATTCGTACACTGAAGTAACTTCCTTATCTTGACTTGCTGGATGGCTGAATTGCTGAATGCTTGTTGTTGTTGTTTTTTGAATTCTTTGTTCTCACGTTGTTGTCGTTGTTGTTGCTGCTGCTGCTGCTGCTGCTGTTGTTCTTGTTGCTGCTGCTGTCGCTGTCGTCGTCGTCGTGTGTGTGTGTATGTGTGTTTTCTTCTCCACACAGTACATAGCACCAGAGACATTTGACACCAAGTCTCATTCGGAGGCCAGCGATGTGTATGCGTTTGGTAAGCACTTTACTAGCCACAGTGTAGGAGTCTGGTTAGGTACAATGCAGCCAGTTTCTGGCATTCTTACCAGTCCTCTATGCCTTGCTTGCTAATGTGTTGTGGACAATGAGAGAAAGAGAGGGGGTCGTGGCCCTCTCGGGTCATGATTCACATCATCATATCCATAGGCTATTGGCAAAAGTAGATGCTGTATAACGGGTAATTTTAGCGACTATTGATTTTAGCGTTTTCCCATTGTCAACCGGTTAGCGACGTTTTATTTTAGCGATTTGCAGCGATTTTACTCACGGATCACCAGTGCACTACTATGTCTGAACGGATTAGCAACTTGAAACTTAAGCGAAAATGAGTCGATCGCTAACTTCGCTAGGGTTTTTACGTCGCTAAAATTTCCCATTCTACGGTAAACAAGAGTGTGCAACTCGCGAATGGGTTCGCCCATGGCGGAATTTTTTGTTGACGTAATCTTTTCTACGACGCACGCGCTGCGAGTCTTTTGGAAAGTTTTGCCTCGTGCACTTGGCCGGGCTTTACATTACAAGGTCGATGCCCAGGACGTGCTCTCACACTGCTCTGCGGCAAAATGCGCGTTTTTCTGAAAAAAACGTGACGTCAACAATAATTTCCGCCGTTGCCCGGGGTATCTGCAGGTTGTGTACAGAATAGATGCGTAGTTGCACACCCTTGGACCTTGTGTTATCTACTCTTGCTATTGTACCCTTGGACCTTGTGTTATCTACTCTTGCTATTGTAGTGCGGAGTTGCACACCCTTGGACCTTGTGTTATCTACTCTTGCTATTGTAGTGCGGAGTTGCACACCCTTGGACCTTGTGTTATCTACTCTTGCTATTGTAGTGCGGAGTTGCACACCCTTGGACCTTGTGTTATCTACTCTTGCTATTGTAGTGCGTAGTTGCACACCCTTGTACCTTGTGTTATCTACTCTTGCTATTGTAGTGCGGACTTGCACACCCTTGGACCTTGTGTTATCTACTCTTGCTATTGTAGTGCGTAGTTGCACACCCTTGGACCTTGTGTTATCTACTCTTGCTATTGTAGTGCGTAGTTGCACACCCTTGGACCTTGTGTTATCTACTCTTGCTATTGTAGTGCGTAGTTGCACACCCTTGGACCTTGTGTTATCTACTCTTGCTATTGTAGTGCGTAGTTGCACACCCTTGGACCTTGTGTTATCTACTCTTGCTATTGTAGTGCGTAGTTGCACACCCTTGGACCTTGTGTTATCTACTCTTGCTATTGTAGTGCGTAGTTGCACACCCTTGGACCTTGTGTTATCTACTCTTGCTATTGTAGTGCGTAGTTGCACACCCTTGGACCTTGTGTTATCTACTCTTGCTATTGTAGTGCGTAGTTGCACACCCTTGGACCTTGTGTTATCTACTCTTGCTATTGTAGTGCGGAGTTGCACACCCTTGTACCTTGTGTTATCTACTCTTGCTATTGTAGTGCGGAGTTGCACACCCTTGTACCTTGTGTTATCTACTCTTGCTATTGTAGTGCGTAGTTGCACACCCTTGTACCTTGTGTTATCTACTCTTGCTATTGTAGTGCGTAGTTGCACACCCTTGTACCTTGTGTTATCTACTCTTGCTATTGTAGTGCGGAGTTCCACACCCTTGGACCTTGTGTTATCTACTCTTGCTATTGTAGTGCGGAGTTCCACACCCTTGGACCTTGTGTTATCTACTCTTGCTATTGTAGTGCGGAGTTCCACACCCTTGGACCTTGTGTTATCTACTCTTGCTATTGTAGTGCGGAGTTCCACACCCTTGGACCTTGTGTTATCTACTCTTGCTATTGTAGTGCGGAGTTGCACACCCTTGGACCTTGTGTTATCTACTCTTGCTATTGTAGTGCGGAGTTCCACACCCTTGGACCTTGTGTTATCTACTCTTGCTATTGTAGTGCGGAGTTCCACACCCTTGGACCTTGTGTTATCTACTCTTGCTATTGTAGTGCGTAGTTGCACACCCTTTGACCTTGTGTTATCTACTCTTGCTATTGTAGTGCGGAGTTGCACACCCTTGTACCTTGTGTTATCTACTCTTGCTATTGTAGTGCGGAGTTGCACACCCTTGGACCTTGTGTTATCTACTCTTGCTATTGTAGTGCGGAGTTGCACACCCTTGGACCTTGTGTTATCTACTCTTGCTATTGTAGTGCGGAGTTGCACACCCTTTGACCTTGTGTTATCTACTCTTGCTATTGTAGTGCGGAGTTGCACACCCTTGTACCTTGTGTTATCTACTCTTGCTATTGTAGTGCGGAGTTGCACACCCTTGGACCTTGTGTTATCTACTCTTGCTATTGTAGTGCGGAGTTGCACACCCTTGGACCTTGTGTTATCTACTCTTGCTATTGTAGTGCGTAGTTGCACACCCTTGGACCTTGTGTTATCTACTCTTGCTATTGTAGTGCGGAGTTGCACACCCTTGTACCTTGTGTTATCTACTCTTGCTATTGTAGTGCGTAGTTGCACACCCTTGGACCTTGTGTTATCTACTCTTGCTATTGTAGTGCGGAGTTGCACACCCTTGTACCTTGTGTTATCTACTCTTGCTATTGTAGTGCGTAGTTGCACACCCTTGGACCTTGTGTTATCTACTCTTGCTATTGTAGTGCGGAGTTGCACACCCTTGTACCTTGTGTTATCTACTCTTGCTATTGTAGTGCGGAGTTCCACACCCTTGGACCTTGTGTTATCTACTCTTGCTATTGTAGTGCGGAGTTGCACACCCTTGTACCTTGTGTTATCTACTCTTGCTATTGTAGTGCGTAGTTGCACACCCTTTGACCTTGTGTTATCTACTCTTGCTATTGTAGTGCGGAGTTGCACACCCTTGTACCTTGTGTTATCTACTCTTGCTATTGTAGTGCGGAGTTGCACACCCTTGGACCTTGTGTTATCTACTCTTGCTATTGTAGTGCGGAGTTGCACACCCTTGTACCTTGTGTTATCTACTCTTGCTATTGTAGTGCGTAGTTGCACACCCTTTGACCTTGTGTTATCTACTCTTGCTATTGTAGTGCGGAGTTGCACACCCTTGTACCTTGTGTTATCTACTCTTGCTATTGTAGTGCGGAGTTGCACACCCTTGGACCTTGTGTTATCTACTCTTGCTATTGTAGTGCGGAGTTGCACACCCTTGTACCTTGTGTTATCTACTCTTGCTATTGTAGTGCTGCTGCATGCTACTGTGGTGGACATGGAAATCCAGTCGATTGAGCGAGGCCGGCGCCCTCGCTGCCTCAGCGCGTACAGAACGTCGTTGCACGCAGTGCTCGTGTTGATCCCCCATGCGACCAGCGCACTGCAGCGCATACTAGTACATGCATGCGTGTACTGCTTACCCACGGCTGCATGGCCAGCGCCATGGGGCCGCTAGACGTCCAACCGGATTTCAATATCCACGACAGTAGTTTGTACGTGGAAGTGTGTGGGCTACAGTAGTGACTTCATCCCATTTTCAAACTTGCTCCAATCGCTTTGATTTTGGTCTCATTCGATTCTCCAGAGCGTAGCATAGGACATCTGCAAGTATATCCAATCCGCCCAGCCATTCTTGAGTTATAGTGATTTGAAGTGCACCAGTTTGGACTTTCGCTGGAAACAGAAATGAATGGGAGTGATGGGAGAATCGAGAAAATGTCAAGACGACTGCACAGTCAGTGCATGCAGTGCAGTGTACAGTGTACATGCCTCGTCACTCGAACTGCACGTACGATATTGCATACTCTGGTATGCTGGCACAAAACAAATTCGCTCGTGGAGGAAGACGAAAGCGTCTCACCGCCTTGAAATTTCACATGGTCAGTAGTTTTTCGACGCTGAAGACGATGGATTAGTCCGTGACGCTGCGACCCGACCAGAACAACCCGAAATTCGTCTCTTGAAAAAGCGCTGAGCGCAAAGCACCTAAATTTCGTCGTATGGAAACGGGACTTCGGGTCTCAAGGGTACGGACATCTCCTCCCTTAGACAAAGCAATGTACTCGATGCGATATTCTAGAATTTGATCTGGCCACGCCGAAATCACTGCGATGTCGGATTCTCCCATCGGAAGTATAGAAACTTGTTTTGCAGAGAATCAGCGTCTGGGTGCGAGGGAGTAAAGTCACTAGTTCCAATGACGGCTGCGTCCCACCCGCCGCCTGTGTGGATTCACAGGAAGTGTGAGTTACGAAGTCTGAGGAGGGTGTTGAACGGTCTCTGCTGGGATGACGGCTACACCATAGCTCAGTGGTTAGAGCATCGCTGGCTTCAAGCAAAGGTCCGGGTGGGGACAGTCATTTTTTTCTTCAGACTTTTCCCGTTAACGTATTATGTGTCCACTAACACCACCAGTTACTTTACAGTCAGCTCATGCGCTAACATTACACGACACTGACCGACGTTACTGACGTTCTACAACCAACTGGCTTGTAGTGTCTTGGTCCTCATTTCTTCTTATAAATTAATCCTTGGCTCTCCAGCCGAGTCCTTCAGGGGCGTCGGACATGGTACGGTCACTACGGTATTGACCGTACCACTATTTGCCCCAATTACCCCGTAAATCAATACACTATTCTGGGCTCAAAATTTCCAGAATTTTTGGCTCAGCAACCCCTCCCCTACGAGTAAATTGTACTTGAGATGGTTGACCGTACGACACTAAAATACCTTGCGACGCCCCTGTCCTTTATTGTCTATGTGTATCTGCACAGGTATCATCATGTTTGAAGTTGCTTCGCGCAAGACACCATATCATGAACACCGACACTTGAGACTCATGGAGCTGATGATGAGCGTGCTCAGAGGTCAGCATTCCTATGTCCCATGCTATCTTCATTGCGGTGCAGAAATATTCGTCTGGAATTTAATTTCGTCTTTTTCGTCCAAGGAGCTTTTGGACTTAATTAAATGTAGGACGAATATCGATTTGTCCAGCGTTTCTATACACTCTTATGATCCATGGACGAAATTTCCAATCGGACGAACTCCTTGTCTTTGGAGTTGGACGAAATTATTGACCAACGAAATTTTCTGCCTGTACAGTAGCTGATTGTTTTTAAGAAAAAAAACACGATTAAAATAAATGTATGCATACTGTGTTGGTGTATGGGCTTTTACACTGTACAGTATGCACACTGTGCATTACCTCATGCATACAGTGAGTATGCCTCATACCAAGAGTACATAAACCAGAGTGTGCAACTCGGGATGGTTCCTGTGGGAGCGTAATTCGTGCACTACGTCATTTCTGACGGCATGGTAAGCCACAGGTACGGTGAAAGGTTGCGTAACCAGTCACGGTGGTGCAGGTCACTGAGTTTGTCCTGATTTCGGTTTTTTGAAACGGATAGCCTGGTGAATTTACTTGTCAGCGGATGTACGCAGCATACGCAGTCACACAAAAACACCGAAATCCTCAAACAAGACGACTAAAATCATGTAAACTTGGTTGATTTCCGGTCTGAAACACGAAAATTAGAGCTGTACGCAAGTCGCGGCTTGGCTGACCTCACCAGGGTGACGTAGCGCACGAACTGCGCTGTTTCAGATCTGATATGCACAGTTGCACACTCTGGTTTATGTGCACCAGACTCATACATGTACATACAGTGTGTATGCATACCTCATGCATACTGTCAGTATGCTGCATACTGTATGCATATCGTAGTGTCTTGTATAAAAGCCTGTGTCATTTAGAAGCCTAAACTTTTTCCTTCCGTAAAAATTATCGATAATAGGGAGGTTCTGCTATACGTGAAACGTAGAGAAATCACGTAGAGAGCAGGTGTCTGGGTTAGAGTCTACGGCTTCGCGTGTTTTGGCTGCAGATTTCTACGCGGAGATGAGGTTCTCTACGTTGTGGCACACGCAGAGAAAATGCGTATGGATCTGCTGCGTATCGATCAACTGCAGGCAGAAAACTGCCGAATATGGAAGGGGAAAGTCCCAGTACACATTTTACGTGATTTCTCTACGTGAACGTAGAGCAGAACAGCTTTTCTTTACGTCACGGGAACGCGAAGAGAGTTCCCGGGCCTACGTGATTTCTCTGCGTTTCACGTATAGCAGAACCTCCCTAGTGCCGGATGGCCCCTTACTCAGCTCTAGCACTCCACACACTTTTCTGTTCACTACAACGAGGCAGCGCTACCATATTCATGTCTGTATTAGACATGCACTGTTGTGTGTTTTGCTGAGCGTCCGGCTGTGTGTGGTGTTGTGTGCAGTACGGTGTTGTGTGCGCGGTGTTGTGTGTGCGGTGTGGTGTGGCGTGTGGTGTGTTGTGTGGTGTCGTGTGTTGTGTGGTGTCGTGTGTGGTGTGATGTGCGGTGTTGTGCGGTGCGGTGTTGTGTGCGGTGCGGTGTTGTGTTGTATACGTTGTTGTTCTTCTGCGGTTACAGGCACACGTCCTGGTCTGACTGCGGCTATCATGGCTGCCAATGGCTGCCCGTCCGATGACTACATGGAGCTCATGCAGCAGTGCTGGCACGAGGACTTCAGACAGCGGCCAAACTTCACCGAAATCATCTCCGCCCTGCGTCGCATGCCTGACATCAGCAGCTCTGTGGGCGCCGCCTCCACTCCTGTAACTCCATGATCAACTCCACTCATACCGGTACCGGTACTACCACTACTACTACCAATCTCAAAATCTTTATTTGAAAGAACCCAAAGTTGAACAGCAAAAGATGCAAAGCAAAGCAATGGAGAAGGCAATTCCAAATCAATGATCGAAGAAACCAGCAAAATAACAAAGAAAACAAAATTTTGCCACTACTACTACTACTACCTATGCGGTTATGCTGTCATTAGTAGTGTGCTTACTGCTCGCCGCGTCGCTGTCGTCAGTGGTCACTGGTTTCCGTCCATGCCCCCGAGTCCGTCCTCTCCTCACCCGCATCCGCTGCGTTCACACTAGTCCTGATGGTGTGCTATCGTGTGTGTGCTGTAACTGGGTGTTGTGTGCATCTCTGCGCTTCCGCCCGTCCAGTCTGTCCACAAGTATCTGCGTGACAAGAACGATGATGATGTCGGCACGGACGACAAGCCATTACGACCATGGAGTAGTAAAATACCGGTAATTTACTACTCCCTGATTACGACCAGTTAATCGAGCTCTGTGTCAGCTCATTTTGTAGTGCCCCAATGCTTCAATTCTTAGTTACCATGGTTACGGTTCTACGCTCTCTTTCAGTCCTGCTGGCCCTGCTTCAACTCTAGGACCACATGCTCTGCAATGCCACCAGCACCGGCACCAGCAGCAGCACCACCAGCACCGGCACCAGCAGCAGCACCACCAGCAACAGCATCAGCAGCACCACCACCAGCAACAGCATCAGCAACACCACCAGCACCAGCACCACCACCCGCACCTCGCGAAGCTGCAGCTGCAGCATTGCTCCCCTATGTGGCCACCATCGCTGCCACCGCCGCCACCATCACTGCCAGCAGCAGCAGCACCATCACCACCAGCACACTACTCTGTACATTTTGCAGGCCGATTTCCCCCTATCCCCCCTATTTGAGTTACCGACACCACCCACACCCCACCCCCACCCCTCCTCTAGTTTTTGTAATCATTCTAGGCTAGCTAGTAGCAGTAGTGCAGTCTGCAGCATGATTTTAGGCTACATACACAAATGTTAGACATCGCACATAATTTCAAGGGTACATAACCCCCATTCTGGGTTGGATAATTTATAAATTGCTGTGTGGAAACACTCTCTCCATTTTTCAAAATGTTTTATCCTTTTTAGATTTTACCCTACAAACTCATCATCTCTTATTGCCATGGTTATCTTGCATATGGCCATGTCAACCACCCTGTACTCTTCGAAGACACAAAAGGTACACACACAAGGGTGCTATTGGTAGATAGGAATCAGGGAGTAGTAAAATACCTACTCCCTGAGAGGAATATTTTAAAGTTAAAACAACACCTAGAAAACGGACAGCGGCAGACTCAACGCAGAATAAAGTATACAAATAGAAGATTGAGTAAAGTATAAAAATAATTTGTCGTCTACAATCTCCTCACCGTTTGGTACAATACAGGAGATGTGTGGTAAAGTTATGAAGGTAGTATAAAGACATTGTGTCATGATTCACACAAATCTAGTAAAATTACGGTGTACACACTGGAAGCTATGCATGCCACAACTGCACAAGAGACAGGTCAGCATCAAGACAGTGAGACAGGGTACAGGGGGGGGGGGGGGCAGAGAGACAGGGTACAGGGGGAGGGCAAAGGGATACCAATAATTTCAAGAAAGGTACATTGTGTAATGGCAATACTGTACCAACATCTGCCATCCACCCACAGGACTGAGAAAACATCCGCCATCCCCCCACAGGACTGAGAAAGCATCAGCATGGACACTACACACAGACGTGTTGTCAGTACACAGCAGCAGAGAGAAGGACTAAAAACACTCTGACTGCCGGTATTGTACTACCTCCCTGGTACACAGGATAGAAGAGGTAGCAGCAGACGCCATAACGTGTCCGTAGGCCATGGGGTTGACGCAAAAACAGTAGTACCCAATGCACAGCAAGACAGCATATCAGTACGATGGGGTTGACGGCGCAACTTGACGCAACTACAGTAGTAGTACCCAATGCACAGCAAGACGGCCTGTCCGCAGTCCACGGGGTTGACGCAACAACAGCGGTAATAGTACCCAATGCACAGCAAGACAGCCTGTCCGCAGTCCACGGGGTTGACGCAACAACAGCGGTATAATACCCAATGCACAGCAAGACCGCCAGCCGCCTGTCCGCAGTCCACGGGGTTGACGCAACAACAGCAGTGCATGTACCAATACACAGCAAGACGGTGGACGTGCAGAGAGACACAGAGGTGCTGCAACAACGACCGTACCGCTCGCTGATCAATAAAACTATCCAACGCACAACTGTATACATGAGAGCAGACTGGAGCATTATCCACAGCACATCTCTATTAGCAACCGCTGGAAGCGAGGCTTTCGGCAATGGTCATCGCATTGTCCAGTTGTAGCGCAGGTCATATCATGGTTATAACCTCAATGAACCTGCGAGGACTTGCTACAGACATTCAATAGATACGCATGTACACACACGCACGTACACAGACATGCACATGTGCATGAACACACACCATGCGCACACACGCGCGCGCGCGCGCGCACGCACACACACACACACACACATCTCCCTCGTCTATGCCGATTGCTTGCTGAGGATAGAAGCACAGCTGATGCCGCGGTATGTCGCACGCTGTGGCTTGATCATCAGCCCGTGATCTTGTTTACTGGAAAAGACACGCATTCATGCACACACGCGCGCACACACGTACACACAGGCACGCACACACACGCACACACACACCGTACGGAGATGTTTCAAAGGTGCATACAGGCAGATGGACAGACAGGACATAAAGACGGATAATGGTGGTGGTGCTGGTGGTGATGGTGGACTGGTGGTGGTGGTGATGATGGTGGTGGTGGTGCTGCTGCTGGTGGTGCTGCTGCTGGTGGTGGTGCTGCTGGTGGTGGTGCTGCTGGTGGTGGTGCTGCTGGTGGTGGTGCTGCTGGTATTAAACAAAACATGTTCATGTTCTCCGGTCAACGATATCGTGGATCGGACTTACCAGGTGAAGTATCGCTTTCCTTTCACTGACCCATCATGTTTACCACCTGCACGTGTACACACACATGCACGAATGTGTACACACACACACACACACACACACACACATGCACGAATGTGTACACACACACACACACACACACACACACACACACACACACACACACACACACACACACACACACACACACACACACACACAAATACACACACACACACACACACACGAAACACTTGTGAGGATATTCTAAGCCATGGTATCATCGTCATACCCTCTATCTATACAGACACACCGATAGACTAGACTGACACAACGTCTGCACTCATAAGTTACACTACAGTACTGTCAGGCGCTGAAGAACTGGGAGGGGGGGGGGAGAGAGAACGGTAGCCTAGGCCGTTTTTATTAGGGCTGCAACGGCTAGGGGTTTGGTCGGGTAATGGGTCTGGGTATTTTTATCCGAGTAGCACGGGTACCCTATCGGGTATTTTTTGACGTACAGTAAAACCTGGTGTAAGCGACCTCTGGGTTTAGCGACCACCTGCTCTTAACGACCGTTTTTCCATGCACCGACAGTTCTACACAGACACTGTGGGACCTGGTTCTAAAGACCACCTGACTGTAACGACTGCTTTTGCTTGCACTGTGGGGCGGTCGCTTTAACCAGGTTTTACTGTATGCTGTGCTCGGTGAAATCCTAGCCCGTTCGTTCTCCGGCGCTCCGTTCTCCGGCACCCGACAGTATTGTACACAAAGCGTACACGGATAGACTGCACATATTCAGCGCATATTTATTTTCGGCGATATTCGGCCTGGACTTTTAGACCGAAAATTTCTTGCGGCCGAAATTTTGTTTTGCAAGGGTTCAGTGTGACAGTGTATACAGGCAGCAGCAGTACAGGCCGGAATTTTAATGCAGCCAATATGGGTTTTAGCCCTGGGAGGTTGCAATTTATACATGCCGAAAAGCTGTAGACTTATAGTACTGTAAAAGCAGAAATTTTCGGTGGTGTAATATTTTCGGTATTCTCCAAAATCGGCAGTTCGGTGGAGGGAAATTTTCGGTAAAACCCGTTTTCCAGGTAAGTGTACTAGTACTACATGTAGACAGTACCGGTTGTACCGAAATTTTCGGTGCGTTTTATTTCGGTAAAAATTGTCGGCACCGAAGTTACCGAAAATAAAACACCACCGAAAATTTCTGCTTTTACAGTATACAGATAGAGTAGACACAGCTGCTTGCACTGACAAGAGGAACAATGATGTCATTGCACTAGCATATGCAGTGGGCAGTGGGCAGGCACATAGCTTGTGTGTAGTGAGCGTAGTCCGGTCACCACACCAGCAAATAGCCGTCGTACATGTAGGCACTTTAAAATAGTCAAAACGGGCAAAAATGCAGCCATGAGGTTGCCGGTGATACAAGGTCACCACACCACAGATGTACACTGGTACACCCCTGCTATCTGTGTGAGTACACGGATAGAGGCGTTGCCCTAGCACTGAGCAAACGTAGACTTACTGCTAGTCTTCATGTCCACGCCTAACCAAACTCCATCACCAAAGTCAACCTCGCCAATGTACTTGATTACAGCCATCTCACTGTTGACGAGAACCTTGCAGTTCTGCGCACGAGAGAGAGAGAGAGTGAGAGAGAGAGAGAGAGAGAGAGAGAGAGAGAGAGAGAGAGAGAGAGAGAGAGAGAGAGAGAGAGAGAGAGAGAGAGAGAGAGAGAGAGAGGAGGGGGGGGAGAGAACCTTTTCGTTTTATTTATGATGCAACACATTGGTGGACAAAAGGTTAGAAACAACATACACATGTACCGTAAAATCCCGCCAGAGCACCCCTACCTCCGCCACCCTTGGAGTAGGTTCAGGTGGGGAGGGGCGAATGGGCGAGTCTTACTTGCTGCATTCAGTACTACATGAAAAAGTTCTCACCCTACGAAAACTGTGCATCTCGTACACCGACCAAAGGTCAAGACCCAGGAGTCGTACAGACCCATCAAAACTTTGTGCGATCCCTGGTCAAGAGGGTGGGCATTGTTGCGTACATTTCCAACCGGGTCAAGCACTCGTCTGCCATACGAGGATACAATCAATCACTTCCCTGACAAGAAGTCAGGGAGGGCGCATGGACAAGACGGGGGGCGCTCTGGTGGGATTTTACGGTATATGCCAATGCGCATGCACGCACGCAAGCACTACACATGCACACACTGACTGGCTACGAGTAAGCTAGTAACCACTCACCATGAGATCAACTGCATCGTTACCGTCCACACCGAGACTAGGAGTGGGGGCACTGGTTGACCCACCTCCTCCTCCACCACCACCACCGCCTGCAGTACCTGTACCGGCAGTAGGGGTAGCAGAGCCTGGTGTGCTGGATGATCCAGCAGCACGGCCGGTCGCTGTGCTGCGATGACGAGACCCAGTCCGGTCCGATGACGACAACGACACGGAGGAAGAGGAGGAGGATATCCGCGAGGCTGATGAAGACGAAGGCACTCTACAGACAGACAAGACAACACAAAACCGGATGGATTTCAGTTCCTCGCTAAAACGTTAGAGATTCAACTCTTACAATACAGCGTGTGTGTTCAAAGTCTGCACTAGATATATTCCACTGGCAGTGGTGCTCCCCTACAAAGACTGCACTAGATATATCCCAGCGGCGCTCCCCTACACGAGCTACTAATAGTGACTCAGAAGTGGTCCTCCTCCCTCCTTCCCCCCTTACTGACCTTGCGGAGAGTTTGAACAGCGGTGCAAAGATACCATGGTTGGGTTTGCAAGAGAAGTAGCGAGTGCCGCCGACAGAGCCGTCGTTCTTGCCGTCACCCTTCTCCAGCTGTATACCGTACCACACACTGAGTATGTAGCAACAACAACAACAACAACAACAGTGTGACAACAACAACAACAACAACAGTGTGACAACAACAACAACAACAGTGTGACAACAACAACAACAGTGTGACAACAACAACAACAACAGTGTGACAACAACAACAACAACAGTGTGACAACAACAACAACAGTGTGACAACAACAACAACAACAGTGTGACAACAACAACAACAACAGTGTGACAACAACAACAACAGTGTGACAACAACAACAACAGTGTGACAACAACAACAACAACAGTGTGACAACAACAACAACAGTGTGACAACAACAACAACAGTGTGACAACCGCACAACAGTACATACACACACATACACGCACGCACACACACACACACACACACACACACACACACACACACATACACACACACACACATACACACCCACACACACACACACACACACACACACACACACACACACACACACACACACACACACACACACACACACACACACACACACACACACACACACAAACACTTTTAAAACACACAATCACAACAGCGAGAGTTCCCAAATTGCCGAGAGTGCTCAACACCACAACGGGATGGAGCAATACCACAAAAGCAGAAGAGAACAGAGACAACCGGCTAGGTCATTGTTGTAACGCTGCGTTTCATGCACATAGCAAAGGTAAGGCAATCCTCAGACTACTGATAATCTGAAAATCACCTGGCTACAAACTTATACCCAGGCAGGTAGCATAGTGTGACATTAGTGTGACAATCAGGTCAGTGAGACATGGTGTGCGCATGCTGGCAGTTTTTTTACATGGCAGGTGAAGAGGAGGGCGAGAAGGAAAGGTGACAGTCAAGTTACGGTGACAGCAGGCAGGCTCTGGCCCTGGTGGTGGCAGGCAGGCCCTGGCCCTGGTGGTGGCAGGCAGGCCCTGGCCCTGGTGGTGGCAGGCAGGTGACTAAGTCACACCAGTGGTAGTGCTATAGCGCAAGAGCTAGAACTTATTCTGGTGAAGACATTGATACTCAAGCTGTGTTCCCAACTGGCGCGTGGACGCGATACGCTTGCGGTTCATGCGTGCCCAAACGCGCGCGCTCAGGCTTTCACCAAAAAACCAGCATTTCGACTCGTATTTAGGGCGTGCGACGCCTTCGAGAGTACTAATTTTATGACCCCGCCAGTCAAAGTGACTGGCATGTAAGCTGGTACGCGCCTGATTCTCACTGAAAATTCCAACATGTTGGAATTTCCATTTCGGCGCGTTTCCGTACGCATGGCACCCCAAAAGCCAGCAGAAATACGCACAAATGCGTGGTTTCACACGTACACGCGCCAGTTGTGAACACAGCTTAATTCTGATTTTTGTTTAGGAGCATGGCTGCGTCAGCACGAATAATCTTGACCTTTTCTGCTAACATTGTTATGCACAGGCCGCACACCTTGTTGTGATGTTGCTGTAGTGTAGGTCTTCGCTCTGTCGACGATGGACCACCTAATGTCGTCCTCTTCACCCTGGTCCTGCAGTGCCCACAAGTGCCTTGACAGCCGCGTGTTTGTGCAGTACACATGCGTGGCCCACATGGGTCACCGGGGGGGGGGGGGGGGGGGTGGGGGGGGGGGGGTGGGGGGGGGTGGGGGGTGGGGGGGGGGGCACGTGCCCCCCCCCCACCCCCTAAACACTTCGACCCAGGTTCAGGGTGCACGTAATGGCACCAGCCATGCTACACATATAGCAGCGTGCACCCTCACCCCATAAAAGGGAGATCAGCTACACCCCTGGATACTTTTCTTACAGCATAGTTGTGAGGTGGTTGCCATAGCGCGTCTTGAACGGCGTCTCGCAAAGCCCGAAGTACCGCCTCTCCTCTCCTGAGCTCCGAGTCGTGACGGCCAAGAGGAAGAGAAACGTAATCCGGTACAACCCGCCATTTGGCAAACGAGGTACGAAAAGTATCAAGGGGCGTAGTTGGTCTCCCTTTTTGGGGGGGGGGGCATGGCCGCATAATGTTATTGTGTAGGATGGCTGGTGCAGGTCATTCATGGTCATTACGATTGTGCATGCTGAACCTTGGTCGAAATTTTTAGGGGGGGGGGGGGGGGGTGCACGCCCCCCTCCCCAGTGACCCATGTGGGCTACGCCTGTGTACTGCGCAAACACGCGACTAGCTGTCAAGGCACTTGTGAGCACTGCAGGACCAGGGTGAGGAGGACGACATTAGGTAGACCATCGTGGAAAGGGCAAAGACCTACAGCAACATCACAACAAGGTGCGGCCTGTGTTTAGCAGAAAAGGTCAAGATCATCCGCACTGACGCAGCCACGCTCCTCAACAAAAATCAGACTTAGTATCAAAATGTCTTCATCAGAATAAGTTCTAGCTCTCGCGCTATGGCACTGGTGTGACTTAGTCACCTGTCTGCCGCCACCAGGGCCAGGGCATGCCTGCCATCACCAGGGCCTACCTGCCATAACCAGGGCCAGGGCATACCTGCCATAACCAGGGCCAGGGCCTGCCTGCCACCACCAGGGCCAGGGCATGCCTGCTGTCACCGTAACTTGACTGTCACCTCACCTTCTCTCCCTCCTCTTCACCTGCCATGTAAAACTGACAGCATGCGCACACCATGTCTCAGTAACCTGATTGTCTCCCTAATGTCACACTATGCTACCTGCCTGGGTATAAATTTGTAGCCAGATAATGTACAGATTATTAGTTGTCCGAAGATTGCCTTAGCTTTGCTGTGTGCATGAAACACAGCGTTACAACAATCACCTAGCCGGTTGTCTCTGTTCTCTTCTGCCTTTGTGGTATGCACTATGCACACACCACATACATACATATACATACACAAAAAGCATAGTGGGAGGACGGTGGACACACGGGTGAACACGCGTAGTTGCACAGGGAGGTGAGCGTATGCACGCACGTGCACATGCGCACACACACACACACAGCACAACAGCAGAAGACATTGCACTCACCCCTGTGCGAAATCTGTTTCACCAATAAACCGGACAACACCAGCTTTCTTGCCAGACACCAAGACGCTATCACCAACCTGACAAAAAAACAATCAGAGAAAATCAATATGGCTTGAACGTGACCGGATCTTCCACGTGAAGAAATGCAAAAAAAAAAGAGAGTTCGACTCAATGAACATTGGGTGGGAAGCGCTCTCCCTCAAGCAGGTCTCCATCCCTCTCCCTCAAGCAGGTCTCCTGCTGCTTCACAACTGCAGCTCAGTCATAGGCACTACGCCACTTCCCAGCGTTCATCTGCATCGTAATCCAGGAATTTCGCCATGCAGAAAAAGACAGAATCAGCAAACTCTTACAGGTTTTTAAACATTTCACCACTCAGTGCGTATATCACGTCTTTGAGAAAGAAGGCCGGCCACTAAGAACAGCGCATAGCCGTACTTATGAAAAACAAACAACATCCCCTGCGGCAAAGTAGCCGTTATATCACACACATAACTGCATCGTACCACCCTGGAAATCGGAAGATGACGATAATTTCTTTCCCATACAAAACCTGTGGTTAAGTACCCGCTATACCACACATAACTACACAGCACCAACCTGGAAATCGGAAGACGACGAGACTTTCTTTCCCATGGTGGTACCGCCGTCCGGCTGGCTAGCAGCCGTCTTGGCAAAGCTTCGCATCTCCTGTGCATCGACCGCCGACACTCGTACCGGACGGGCACCACGTGCGCTAGTAGAGGTCGTCAGCTTGTGAGGTGATGACGTGGCTGATGTGGAGCCACCAGACGTTTTGCGAGCACCTGCCGCCGGGCCAGCGTTAGAGCCCGAGGACGTGCGACGAGTGCTGCGCGAACTACTACCACTGCCGCCGCTACCAGCAGACGAACCTACAGCATATGTACACACACACACACACACACACACGCACACACACACACACACACACACACACACACATATATACACCATGTACACATACATGTACACACACACGTACGCACGCACATACACACACACACACACACACATGGTGTGTTCAAGACAGTGCTGTTCAGCCAACTTTGCGTACGACATTCGGCGTGGCATCAGAAAAGTGTCGTTATTCGCGAAGTGTCCTTATACCCGAAGTCTCAGTACATGTATCTTTTTTTAGATGGGACTTTGCTCTGGGCATGGAAATTCTGTCGTTATTCGCGAATTGTCGTTATATCCGCAGTCGTTATTAGCGAACTTGACTGTATATCACTTGGCAAGGCTACACAGTATCTGCTTCACAACACATGGACGGATACAGTGCTAAATATAGGGTAAGCAACAGGCTAGCAGCATTTGGCCCTGGACAGATTTTTCCACCGTCCACCACACCATAACTGTGAAATGATGCAGGGTGCAAACTTGACTCGCGCGACCGTGGTTCCTTGAGTGGTAATGTGCTAACCACCCCACCATAACTGCAGTCTCCAGCCAACCTCGACACGTTGCCACAGCACACCACCAGCAAAGCTACACATCCGTTGGTACTGAATTCCTTTATGCAGCTGTTTCGAGTATAAAAACTCTCGCCAGTGAAGGTAGATATTGTACTGTCGTTCACAGTGTTTTCCACTTTCTTTTGCTTAGCCCTGATCTTCGCGCCTCAGGCGTGCATATTGTGCTAACTGCTAGCCCTATCAGTACAAAAAGGTGATTTTCACGAACTAATAGCCATTCTACTGGCGTGGACATGGAAATCCGGTCGAATGACGCGGGACCGACGCCCTCAGTGCGCACAGAACGTTGCATGCAGTGCACACGTTGATTGTATCATTTTGTGCGCGTACTCACGGCTGCATGGCCAGCGCCCTGGGGCTGCTTGACCTCCGACCGGATTTCCATGTCCACCACATTTACAATTCAGAGTTTACTGTCGTGCAATGTTATCGCAGGAGCTGATTGTTTAGTAACTGGTGGTGTTAGTGGACATTATAGCATAACTTCTAGTTCCTTGGTCCATTTTCTTTTCTATAAATTTATCCTTGGCTCTCCATCCGAGTCCAATACAGAGTTTACGCCTCACGTTTTTTTTCAATTTCGAACGTGAGGAAAAATGTGCGGTTGAATCGCTTATTTTCACTGTGAGTGAGCACTGATGTGCCTTGAATCGCTTTTTTCCACCGTGAGGTGGCTCTCTGTCACGTTGAAATCTCACGTCGCAGCGTGAGGAGCGCTTATTTGGCCATGAGATCTCACGTTCGAAATTGGAGAAAAAAACGTGAAGCGTAAACCCTCTATTATCTACTTTCGCTGACGAGAGTTTTATACTGGAAACAGCTGTATGAAAGATTGTAGTACTGACGGATGTGTCGCTGTGCTGTGGCAACGTGTCGAGGTCCGCTGAAGAGTGCAGTTATGGTGTAGTGATTAGCACATTACCACTCAATGAAATCTGGTCGCGTGAGTCAAGTTTGTGCCCTGCACCATTTCACAGCCCAGTGTTCGCAGACATAGGGCTGCGCAATGCCCGGCGCGTACCTGAGTGACTCGATTTGGATTTCATTGAGCAGCAGTGTAGTAGAGATTGCTGCATTATAGAACAGCCGAATGGCACCGTTCATAATTTCATTGACAGCATTGTACAGTGAGTATCGTTTATAAAGTGACCGGGTGTAACGATATACCGGCTATAATGATCGAAACTCGCCAAAATCAAAATCAAATCTAAAAAAATACAGCTAAAATATCACTATACACACTATTATCGACTATACCGATATATCGCTTATTGTGATGGGCTTCAGGAAGCAAACCATATCAAATGCACAGGAAAATATCGTATATACTGATCAAGAGTGATGATCACAAAACAATTGTTCTTCAAATTTAGTTCATTTCTTCCAAAACTGATCCAGTGTTGCCTGGATGCATTTGGCAGCAGACGTGATTGAGAGAAAATTCTTCCCTGTATGCTGTAATAGGCCATTCACACGACGGCCAAACTTACTTTTATCGTACTGTTTCCAAGGATATTTACTCGGATAAGATAAACTTGGACACCCGCGTGCAACTGATTTTTTATCTTGGCCGAGGCCCTTTTGCTCGCGATTATCTTTGCACGCCAGGAAAAGTGTCGGTTGTTGAAAGTGCGTACTGCAAATTAGGGCTCAAACGATTAGTCCGATTAACCGGTTGCAGACCGGTTACGAAGAATTAACGGTTAACCGATAAAGATAACGGTTACGCAGTAACTTTTCAGTCAATTTTTCAAGTATCAGGTCGTTGCAAAGTGTGCACTTTCGCGGGCTGTCGGACGCGTACGCAATTTCTGGGCTGTCAACTCGGTCATATCTGGTCTCTTGGTGTGAGAGTATGTATGAATGAGCATGCAAGAGAATGTACAAGTGTGCGTTGTACTGAATAGGGTACATTTTTTGAATGAGTATAGTCAAATATATGGTTAAAAAAGAGTCCGCATGATTGCCGTGGCTTATAGGTTATGACCGGTTAAGCGACCGTTAGCTTAGCAGTTAACCGTCAGGGGTAAAACCGTGACCGTTTGAGCCCTACTGCAAATGCAGTGCCTGAACAAGGGAAAATTCAAAATTGAACATTTCCCGGCATTTTCAGGAGGTCACTATGGATACATTGACGGTTGCAAAGTTTGCCCAGCACCGTGTGAACTGGATCACGGTTTGCCAGTGTTATCTTGGTCACACACGTGCAAATGTTTACACGTCGTGTGAATGGCCTATAAGCAGCCACATGTACACGTAGCTGCTTTTCATGCATTTTCCAGCGTGTACGCATCATTTCATGCATAGTCATGTGCCATGTGTCAGTCATACATGCAAATCGGCTATAGTGATGCACCGGATATAGTGATAAATTATCGAAAATCAAAGGGGCACGTTATATCCACTATTTACTGTAGTATTTTTATTTCAGAACTTTGAGGCTCCATTCTAGCCTGTTTTGTTTTTTTCACTCCACCTCTAACCCGTAACACACAAAGTTCTCGGCTGCACCACGCACAATGATTGTCTCCAAATAATAATTTGAACCCGGGCCGGCATCATCAGGGTAGTAGTAGTAGTAGTAGTAGTTAGTGAAATACATGTAATTGTGATGTTTTGACCACACAGGAATACATCACTGTTATTCCTAGTCCTACAGTTACACAGTGTCCAGGGGCATAGCTGGTCCCCCTTTCAGGGAGGTGGGGAGGGGGGGGGGGGGGGGGGTGCACGGCTGCACATGTGTAGGATGACTGGTGCATGTTATTCATGGTCATTCTGTGCATGCTGAACCTAGGTCGAAGTGTTTAGGGGGGGGGGGGGGGGTGCACGTATCCCCTGTGGGCTACGCGCCTGGTGTCCTACAGTGCACACCTACCTAGTCGAGATGTGACCTCTCGGAGACGCACGCCATCATGCTTTGCCACGGCAACATCGCCGACCGGAGCAAACGTACCTGAGTGAAGTCAGAGAACACACGTATACACACGTACACATACACACACGTACACATACACACACGTACACATACACACACGTACATACACACACGTACACATACACACACGTACACATACACACACGTACACACGTGCGAGCAAATACACACATACACTCGCACACACACGCACACACACGTACACACACATGTGTACACAAACAGACTCGTGCTTATCTTCCGACATGTTTGACAAGCAGGCTCATACTAGTCAAGCGGTGTGTGTAGCAAGCAGACTCAAGACGGTCATCCGGCAGTACTTACAGTGGTCCTTTTAGAATCCGGCATTATTTGTGCTAGAGACATTCTGCTGAATTTGGGAGGGTGCTGGATTAACTAACCTTTGCGTGTTGGGCAGGAGAAGTACTCGCGACCATCGACGGTACCGCTGTTCTCTCCGGTGGCCTGCTCCAGCTCTACGCCAACCCAAACGTGATCAGGAGACACTGATGGGTAACGACTACAACCAGTGCTAGCTGGGGTGAAGCGAACACGTCCAATGTAGCGAGCATGGCCGTACTGCGCCGAGAGAGAGAGAGAGAGAGAGAGAGAGAGAGAGAGAGAGAGAGAGAGAGAGAGAGAGAGAGAGAGAGAGAGAGAGAGAGAGAGAGAGAGAGAGAGAGAGAGAGAGAGAGAGAGAGAGGGAGAGAGAGAGAGAGAGAAAGAGAGTGAGAGAGTGAGTGAGAGAGAGAGAGAGAGAGAGAGAGAGAGAGAGAGAGAGAGAGAGAGAGAGAAAGAGAGTGAGTGAGAGAGAGAGAGAGAGAGTGAGTGAGAGAGAGTGAGAGAGAGAGAGTGAGAGAGTGAGAAAGAGAGAGAGGAGAGAAAGAGAGAGAGAGTGCGTGTGAGCCTGCTTTCACGTTCAAATATATATGGGCCAGTGCATGCAATACCGTGTCTAAGGGCAAATTTTTCGAAATTTTTTCTTTCTTGAAAATCAATCACAGGGGTCTAGAGAACACCTCTGTGGAAGATAAAGTTGGATATCACATTTGAAAGTACATAGAGACCATGATTTCTATGGCATTGTCCAACATAGAATTTGCCTTGTATAATGCATTATCTACAGTGTCGCTGAAAGCAGCAACAGTTTTGCGTATCAGCCTTTAATATTGGCCAAGACATTCAATGAAGGCTGCCTTGTTCTCCAGTCAAAACTGGGCAACATTGTCCAGCAAGTTCTTGCGGCGTTGAGCTAACAAGAACTCGAGATCTTTTTTTGTGCAAAGACAACATGGTCACAGAGTGGTTCCGTTGCAGAATTCTTTTCATCCTATGCAGGAGGAGAACGAATATTGTCCCGGAGCAGCTCACACTTGTTGCACACGTCCATCCGTCGCGTCATGAACTCGATGGACTTGCACTTCTTAGCCCACAGATACGAAAATTTAATGGGTAACCCAGGGTTTGCGCTTCACCAGACTGCTCGACATGTTCCGAAAGGACAAACTTGTAGGCAACAGATGTAGGTAAGTTAATGGGAGATTCCTCACCTCTCCCTCTTGGTGCTACAGGCAAAGGGAGACTGAACACTAAGCTGTAGTTCAGAATAAACTGCTGCGCTCTGTCTCCCACTTCTGCACAAAATTGATTCCAAGGCACATTGCCAGATTTCCATGTGCACCAGGATGACAGCTATTGTTCTCCTTGTCCACTTGCACACAGTCATGTTCTGCCAACCACATGGAGCTGCATAAACGCGGTTCCACACACGATGTATCTAATCCCATCACAGTTTATCCAAACGTGATGCGCGTCCGTTCCGTTGCGGAAGCTGTCGACTGATGCACGACAGTCGACAGGATCGTCATGCGTGCAGCGCAGCCAGCACACAAAATATAAAAAATGCCGAGGTCCTTCGATTTCATCGCCGAGATTTAGTCGTCGTAATGGAGGATTGCGCTCGACGTGAAGCTGCTGAAATGGTAGTTCCGAACGCAGCCACAGCCTTCAAGAATCAGTGAGTCCACAGCGGCAATGCTCTGAAGCGAGTTCTGCTCATCGTCGCTTGCAGAGTCCACAGAATCTCCGCCTAATTCATCCGCTCTCGACTCGCCTTCAACCTCAAAGCACGAGTCTTTCACTCCCGGACGCTTAGCTGGGGCTTCGTCAGAGTCACTGTGAGCAGTGCAGCTGCTAGTTGCCGACTGCTCCGACTCACGACTCGCCAAATAAATTGTCGTCTTCCTCCTCGATAGTAAACCTTGCCGATCTTTTCGGACGCGCCGACGATAATCACGCGAGCGGTACAGCTCAACCGACGTGCTGCTCGGCGTCTGCCGCGAGTGTGTCTACTCAGAGGCCCTTCCTCAAGTGCTACTTCCAACTCCTCCTGCGCCGCCACGTCCATGACTATTGCTGCAAGTCGATCGCTTGTCGCTTCTCTTGTCGTCTTGAGATCGATTGGGAATATTGACAAGATCCGCGATCGAGCCACAAAAAAATATAACTCTTCTTTCCGATCGATTTTCTCAAAATTCTGAAAGAAATCGGTTTCCCCCGAAGACATGTTTTCGCATGCACTGGCCCATATATTATCCCTTGGCACACTCACCAGTCACACTGACAACCTGTGTAGCAGTCTAGCAAGAAGGTGCCACAGGTGTGCGTGTGTGATTCCCGGTGGCCTAACTGATAGGGCAATGTCCCAGAAACAACAGGGGTGCTGGGTTCGAATCCTGCTCAAGGATCCTTCTTTTGCGATACTGGCGTCTGGAAATGGCTCGAACCCATGATCCATCGCCTGAACATGCATTAGAGCTGTATAGCTATCTCACCCTTCGTCCATTGACCAGTACCCGGTCTCCAACCTTGACTTCCCGTCTTGCCGGGTTGGAGAGTACGCCAGG